CACTGTGACGTTTTGTGTCTTATCGCTTGCACACTCGCTGCTGATCTGAAATCGCTTTATTCTCTCGCATTTTAGTATTGTCCTCTTTCACTATGGACCCCTGCGCCCTATACCAGCAAATTTGTGAATTCGAAACCAAATCCTTCTAAACCTCAAGCGACCACCTGTTACAATGGGCAGATGGTGAGAGAACACACGAACACAAGGTACAAGGAGTTGATAATGTAGGGGGTGTCAAAATATGGGAAATAGGAAAGGAAGGACACACATTAAACTAATAGGGAGATGCGGAAACGAGGAGAGAAGAAAGGAGAAATGGAGAGAAATAAAGAAAGGAAATGTAGACCGCCAGACTACCTGATATCATACGGAAATGTAGAAAGAACAATAAGGGATATCGTTACATTTGTATCAGGTGTGGGGTTTAATTATAAACAAGAAACGACAAAATGATTGGTGTGGCAACACATAGAAGATCCTTATTGTTCATTGTTTGTTGCTAAGGATCAACATAATTTGTTGCTAAGCGAGTTGCGAAGTAAATAATGTAATGTCAGAATAATAAAAATAAAAATACAAAGATCAAGTCAAGAAGCGTATTTTTATTGAATAAGAGTGGTTTTTACGGGTAGTAGAATCCATTCTCAACATTTTGGTGACCCCGACGTGATTGTGTTGTGGATAAGCGTATACGATTTGTTTGTACTATGGATAAATATAAGAAGGCAAGAGCACCAGTACGGACCCAATTAACAAGGTTAATAATAATACAATAGGAGATTTGCTCAATCAAGAATCGGTCGATGAATTAACATTACAAGTCAAGTTAGAAAGTTTACACGAGAATGCTCGAAAAATCGACGATTATGACAGTAATATTTTGGAGTTAATGGCAAAAGATGATAATATAGGAGAAGATTCACGAGAAACTGAGTTTCTCGCACAAGAAGAGTATAAGAATCTTATAGGATGGCTAAAATAAGAACTGAAAACTATTTTGAAGGTAAAAGGGTCGCGACTAATGATAATGCTTCAAATGTGGTAGTTAGTGAAGGACTTTCGTCTACAGTAAATGTACGAACCAAATACCCAAAAATTACAATTAAAAGGTTTGAAGGCGATTTAAAGGAATGGTTAGGGTTCTGGGCTCAATTCAAAAATATACACGAAGATCCGCAATTGCCTGTTTCAGAAAAGTTTCAATATTTGGTGCAGTCAATTATATTATTAATTATATTATATTATATTATATAATATTATATAATATAATATAATATACCAACCTTGGGCAGATTCGACCTGGTCATTTGAATCAGCTAATGTCGATGAGTCACAAGTTGTTACAGAACTAAAAAGAACTCGGGTAACTCTAGTTGTTGGTGAAATACTTTGTAACTGGTCAGAGGAACTATGCAAGCGGGGGGTAAAATACTCCAAAATATTAAAAGTAGTATCTTGGATTAAACGATTTGCATGTAATTCACGTGGTGGCAAGATTACAGGCCCATTAACAGTTAAGGAAATCAATGAGGCTGAAATTGCAATAGTTAATTTGATTCAGAGAGAACGTATTCTGAACCAAGGAAAGAATAAAATACGAACGATTATTGATGATAAGGGCACTATTCGAGTTTTTACAAAGATTTCTCGGAAAAATGACTCATATGATTTTAAGTATCCAATATTATTACCTGCTAAACATGTACTGGCTGATTCATTGGTTAGGGAAAGTCATGAAACTAATTCTCATGCCGGGACTCAAATAATGATGAACAAACTTAGAGAACGGTTTTGGATTTTTAAAAGTAGAAAATCTATCAAAGCGATTCGTGAAAAATGTGTTAGGTGCAAAAGGTACGAGGCTAAGAGTTTTTCGACTGAGGCGGTCCCTCTGCCTAAAGATAGAGTAGATGAAGCCTCAGTGTTTCAGATTATCGGAATCAACCTAGGCGGTCCACTTTATTTAAAAGATAATAGTAAAAGTTGGTTTGTTGTTTTCACTTGCGCTGTGTACCGTGCGATTCATATTGAGCTTGTGAATAGTTTAAGCACTGAAGGTTTTTTATGAGCATTACGTAGGTTTATTGCTCGCAGGGGGCGTCCAACCATTATTTATACTGATAATGGAACAAATTTTTTGGGAAGTGAAAATGAATTTCGTGCATTAGTTTGGGATTATATTTCTTCTATGTACACCACTCAACGTATTCAGTGGAAATTCATTCCTCCCACTGCACCATGGTGGGGAGGATGGTGGGAGCGTATGATTCAATTAATAAAAAAATTATTGGTTCGAGTATTAGGTAGATCATTGTTGCATTATGAAGAATTGCTCACTGTTCTTTGCGATGTGGAATCGACTATTAATGATCGTCCACTCACTTACATGTCGGAAGACATTGATGATTTGAAACCATTATCGCCCTCGATGTTTTTACGAGACAACCCCACTAGTCAAGTATGTAATTGATATAGACAAGGTAGAAATTACAAATTTTAATAAAAGACGTAGATATCAAGCTAGGTTGAAGGCAGACCTTAGAAGTAGGTTCCGAAAGGAATATTTGAGTCTGTTAGTGCAACGTTCAAACGAGAAGGGAGGAGTTAAGCCGAAAATGGGAGATGTTGTTATTGTAGGAAATGATGGGACTAAGAGAGGGAGTTGGCCTCTTGCTCTTATCATAGGAATGTATCCCGGGTCCGATGGGGTGATTAGAGTGGTTAGATTGCGTACTGCTTCAGGGGAATTGGTTAGACCAGTTCAACGGTGTTATCCCTTAGAAGGTGGGGAATCTATACCTCCATCAAATGTTAAACCTAATGATAGGGTCACTGAAGTCGTGAGACAGCCTGTCGCTGAAGTATGCCATGACAAAAAAGAGGAAAGTATTTTGGTCCCCATAAGACAGACTCGAGGAGGTCGTGCGACTTGATTTGTGTATTTTTTTGTAATATTTCATGTTTAATTCTTGTAAAATGAAAGGTGGGAGTATGTGGCAACACATAGAAGATCTCATTATTCATTATTTGTTGTTAAGATGGCCATAATTTGTTGCTAAGCGAGTTGCGAAGTAAATAATGTTATGTCAGAATAATAAAAAATAAAATACAAAGATCAAGTCAAGAAGCGTATTTTTATTGGAATAAGAGTGGTTTTTACGGGTAGTAGAATCCATTCTCAACAGTAAGGGTAGATAGAGTCACAGATCTACACATACACAGATTACTAACCTTATGCATTTTTTGGGAAACAAATTTAGGTATACTTAAAAGCGACCTCTATTGCGGAGCAGTATAAACATGTACCGTTTAAAACTGTAATATGACACTTATGGATTTATGCATTAGATGTCGCTGCAAAAAATTTAAAGCGGTAAAGTATGCATATAATCCAGTTTAATTGTATTTTTACCAGGCAAGTTGTGGGGTAGTTTTGATTTCTTTGATTCTATATGTTTTTTGGGGTGCTGAATCCGAACCTGAGGTTTGCTAACAAAATTTCATGACGCAACATTGAAAAACATACAAAAAAAGTTGAAAAAGATATTTTTTAGCAGTTTTGTGCTTACAACTCGAAAACTATCAACTTTTCGAAAATAACCTCCCTACCTTTTATCGGCGTGGTAAAGAGTGTAACGTTAATGATGGCAGAGATATACATAGTTTTTAAGTATGCCTTTACGGTTAGCAGTCTGTCAAGACCTTTAAAGCCGCAAATAGTTTCCGCCAACTTCAAAAAACCTTCACGATTATTTAAGAACCTGCCCTATGTTCGTGTGTATCTGTGACCACAGGGACCCGCTTTTAATAACTCCCTTACGACGAATGAGTAGCTCCAGTGTTCAATTAAACAATTATGGCTCAACGTACCTCCTATCATGTCATACCACTGTAATAAAACGAATATTAAGGAATTCGAATTGTGCAAACTTTAGCGCTTTAATTAAAGTCACTAGATATAGAAAGTACCGCAATCATCCGCCATTTTTGGGCAAATTTACTGCCAACTTAAAAAAATTGACAAATAAAATCTGAATAGCTGTCATTTTTTATAACCTAACTTCATAGTACTGTCATGTTTTATAAAAATATATACAGATATCTCCAAACAGGTGGAACAATCCCTAACATTAAAATTACTAGAATCTGGTAACTTCCGCCATTTTTTGGGCAAAAATCATGCGTTCTCTCTCTAACACACGAGCCCAATGGATTGCGGTACTTTCTATATTTAGTGACTTTAGCTTTAATTTTGTTTCAGCGACATCTAACGCATAAGTCCACAAGCGTCATATTACAGTTTTAAACGATACATGTTTATACTGCTCCGCAATAGAGGGCGCTTTTAAGTATACCTAAATTTGTTTCCCAAAGATGCATAAGGTTAGCAATCTGTGTATGTGTAGATCTGTGATAGAGTGAAACAAATGATTGTGCATTCTGATAACACCTGTCATTCTTAATTCAATTGCACGATATAAAATGACGTTCAGAACATATGACAATTTTGTTTCTATGGAAACGGTCGCGACGGCAGGACCTAAGCTTGCTGTTTTTGACGTCTCTAAATTAAATTCAGAATTGTCAGAAGCTTTACAATGATGTATATGGATTCTGCTATAAAATAGAGTTTTGTATTATACACGACGATAAAGGGAAACTAGCATCTCAGTGGCGCAGCAGTGGTTTCTAATTGTTTCGAAGGATTTTATATATAGTTACCTCTTACATATCCTGTTCAATAAATTACTGTTATGGTAGAATCTAATTTGCACAATCAACCAGCTAAATTAATAATTCTGATGGACATTGAATAATATCTTTTGATTCGAAAATCAAGCATTGTTAGTTACAAACATCCTTGGCATCTTCGAAATTATATTTGACCTACTACCGCATACATTTCGGAAAGAACTTTGTCCTCGTCGGAGGGAGGCACCCGCATAATGCATATGTTTTGTATTTAAAGGGCGGCCTCGATTCGCTCGATTTATGTTCCGCTTATCAATTGTACTAAAATGGTTATGGAAAAAAACGAAGGAGTCGCACTCGCCCATCCCTTGCAAGGAGAGGAGGTCGTCATTACTGGTAAGTGAGTTGAGGTGGTGATCAGGCTGATGATGTTTAATGCAAAGGAATGGCTGGACGTTTTCCCGAGTCGGACGACATCTACCAGTACAGGAGCAACATCTACAACAAAGTTGATATGGTCACCTGCGATAATCGGCGCTGGTTACCGACCAACCCTGAGATACCCCATCGTATTGGTAAAATTAATCATCTCGACGATCTGGATGCTGGTCACTTTGGTATGGCATGGACCTGTGGCTGGGAGTAGGTCTCACCGTGAGTGTTGCAGGGTTGCATTACTTTGAAGTCAACCAGATGGATCCAATTGTGAAGATGATATTGGAGAAGGCTTACGAGGCGATCTTGGACGCTGGTTACAACGAGAAAGAGATGGACGGTGCGAACTGTGGTGTTTTCATGGGGTGCTGCTTTTCGGAAACCGAGCAGGCGATGCAAATGACGCGTAACGTCAGTCCGCACTTTGCAGGGTATGTGATCATTCCCATTCGTATTCTTTTGCATATGCATTTACTAGGACAATAGATCTCCTGTCGTGAATGCAATTTGCTCAGACTCCGCTAACTTATCTTTTCTGTTTCTTAAAACCAAGCACAACTTCATTCTCAAATGTATCAGAAGCGTAGGTGTTAAAAATTTCTTCTCAAGACCTTATCCCTCAAATCTGCAAAACTTCAGCAATTTTAAAGTTTATGAACGGGATAAAAACAATTATCAGAAATAAAAGGCATCTGTGTTGAGGTCCCAGTCCGAATTTAATTCATTTACTGGAACGGTTACTAATCTTCCGCAATATGCAAATGTCCAAAATACCCATACAACTTAGGGTTGTGGCAGCCAACAAAAGCGTAATTAATTGTCTTTAACTTTTTACTGGTTTTGCCGGTTTGTTTATAATATTAGCACAACGTTGACTAGTAATCTGTTTCTTAACGTAACTTACCATTTCAAATATAGCGCAACGCAATGTTTTGCACCTTGAACCTCAACGCTTTCGGGGTAATAACTTATTTAAGTGCGAGCACAATAATCCAATAATGCTCCGCTGACTTACAATATTAACTTTACACTTTTGCCGTTTATTTGCTTCTTGTAAAATGAAATTGAAATGGCGTGTCAAAGAATAGGTTGTACTAACTTTCGTATTTGTCGCCGGATTTTTAGGAAATTTTGTAAGAAGTTGCATCTTGAAAATGGAACTTATGGGCAGATCTAACTTTATTACTTCTATACCATGGTTTTCTGAAATTTTAAATGTAGCGTTAGGGTTGTAAATCCTAGGAGCGATAAGCCTTCTATGTAGCTCATGTAGCATTTTTCCGTCCGGTCTCTGTTGTTGCCCTGAAGGGCAATATTACATTTTTTGGGATATACTAATGCATCCTTCTCCGTTAGGGTTTCTCAATCGATGACCGCGCAACAAATAAGTCACTACCTCAAACTGCGAGGGCCTTCGTATACTGTTGACACGGCGTGCAGCAGCTCACTTTACGCTTTGGAGCACTCGTACCGAGCGATTCGGACTGGTCGGTGCGACAGCGCATTGGTAGGTGGAGCCGGCTTGTGCCTAAACCCCACAACGACCCTGCAGTTTGCTCGGTACGTGATAGAGGATGTGAAAGGGTCCGGTAACGGAGTTATTGCAGATTAGGCGTTCTGAGTGCGGACGGGATGTGCAAGCCCTTTGATGAAGACGCGAATGGTTACGCACGCTCGGAGACCATTTCCATTGTCTTCCTGCAGAAGGCTAAGGATGCTCGACGAATTTACGCACAGGTAACAACCCCCTTATGCACCTAGGGTCTAGATTTCTCTTGCAGTTGCTGCACAGTAAAACAAACAGCGACGGCTACAAAGAGCAAGGGATAACGTTCCCGTCGAGCGAAATGCAAAAGGTCCTCTTAGACGAGACGTACGAGGAATGCCGACTAGATCCCACCGTTGTTGACTTCGTCGAAGCGCACGCCACCGGTACCAAGGTCGGTGATCCCGAAGAAATGACTGCAATAGAGCAAGTCTTCTGTACCAACCGCGACACACCACTAATTGTCGGATCCATCAAGTCCTACGTTGGTCATTCGGAAGGCGGGAGTGCAATGTGCTCGCTGGTTAAGGTTTTGCTCGGAATGGAGGACGACTGCATTTTGCCAAACATTCACTACGACAAACCGCGACAGAGCATAAAGGCTTTGGTGGATGGTAGAATCGTGGTCCCTTTGGACACAATGCCGTTGCCGAAAAACGGTTCGGGGGTGGTTGCGATTAACTGCTTCGGCTTTGGCGGGGCGAATGGGCACGTTATCCTTAAGAAATTCGAGCAACGAAAGGTTAATGGAGGACTGCCCGAAGATGACTTACCGCGACTGATGTGCGTAAGTGGTCGGGTGCCGGAATCGCTGGAAAGCATCTTTGATGACATCGGTGGACGCAAACTGGACGCTGAGTATTGCAGGTTACTTCAAGCGGCATTCAAGTACGTATCCTCCTCAATTTCCTGCAGAAGGCTAAGGATGAAGCTCGACGAATTTACGCACAGGTAACAACCCCCTTATGCACCTAGGGTCTAGATTTCTCTTGCAGTTGCTGCACAGTAAAACAAACAGCGACGGCTACAAAGAGCAAGGGATAACGTTCCCGTCGAGCGAAATGCAAAAGGTCCTCTTAGACGAGACGTACGAGGAATGCCGACTAGATCCCACCGTTGTTGACTTCGTCGAAGCGCACGCCACCGGTACCAAGGTCGGTGATCCCGAAGAAATGACTGCAATAGAGCAAGTCTTCTGTACCAACCGCGACACACCACTAATTGTCGGATCCATCAAGTCCTACGTTGGTCATTCGGAAGGCGGGAGTGCAATGTGCTCGCTGGTTAAGGTTTTGCTCGGAATGGAGGACGACTGCATTTTGCCAAACATTCACTACGACAAACCGCGACAGAGCATAAAGGCTTTGGTGGATGGTAGAATCGTGGTCCCTTTGGACACAATGCCGTTGCCGAAAAACGGTTCGGGGGTGGTTGCGATTAACTGCTTCGGCTTTGGCGGGGCGAATGGGCACGTTATCCTTAAGAAATTCGAGCAACGAAAGGTTAATGGAGGACTGCCCGAAGATGACTTACCGCGACTGATGTGCGTAAGTGGTCGGGTGCCGGAATCGCTGGAAAGCATCTTTGATGACATCGGTGGACGCAAACTGGACGCTGAGTATTGCAGGTTACTTCAAGCGGCATTCAAGTACGTATCCTCCTCAATTTCACCACATTTCGTGTGGTTTCTTACCTAAAAGAATAGGTAATTTCGTCGACCTCTCGATAACAATATAAATTACTCCTTAGTGACGAGTACAATGATGAAGCTTATTAATCGTTAGCAACCATTAATCGTTAGCAACCACTTATACATAACAACCATTTTATTAAAGGGAAATGTCAATTATATAACAATTCACTAAACATCTCACTCACCAATAAAACGCCTCATTTATACACTCCTTGCATAAATAACTATTATAAATGAGTCCTGTCACGGATTAAGTTCAAATCGTTTTATTTTTATTTTCCTGTCAAAATCGCAAAATTTCTCATCTGACGTTTTACAAAAACAAAAACTCATCACACTTCAATAATAAAATCAATTCATCCTTTAAACATACACAAACACACTTTCCCATTAATCGTTAGCAACCACTTATACATAACAACCCATTTTCCACTTCAGCATTTTTATTCAGTTCATCAATAGAACTATGAATCTCTAGTGTTTCTAAGTTATTTCCCTCGATTCTTAAATCCGTTTGTATAAGCTTAAATAGGTGTTCCTCTGCCATTCCTATTTCTTCTACAGTGAGATCTGGGTCGAGATGCTCACCTATTCGAAATTTTCTAAAAAATTACGTATCCAAGCTAGAACTCGAACTGCCTTTTGAAACGAAGAGTAGCGTATTAAGAAATGGTCTTTCCAATTCAATTTTTCAGTGCAAAAATGTACATTTTCAATCTTTCTCATTTCTTGACCAATTTCTATCTCATCTGAAGCTTCTGTTTCATACGGCCATTCTTCTAAATTTCGTAGCCATGATGGTCCCTCCCACCATTTACATTCTAGAAACTTCTTAATACTACATCCACGCGATGGTAAATCTGCCGGGTTCGTAGCTCCAGGTATATGCCTTATAGTTACATGGGGTGTCAAATTTCTGCGAATTTCTATTACTCGGTTCTTTACAAAAATTGACCACGCTTCATTTCGCTTTATCCATTGTATGACTGTAGTTGAATCGGACCACAGGAATACAGGTTTATCCTTCCAAGAAAGTGAATCTAATACTGATTTTAACAATCTTACACCGATTAAAACGGCCATCAGTTCTAATCTTGGAATTGTTACATTTTTCGGAGCTCCGTGGAATTTTAACCTTCTTCAACAAATGAATATCTTTACACCAATCTGCAACTTCTTTTCGATCTTCTTCATTGATTGGGGTATCCCAATCTATTTTATTCTTCCAAATCTTTTGCATAAAAATTCTAGGAACTATTGACACAGACGATACTATGCCAATAGGATCAAATAGCTTATGAATCTAACTTAAAATACGACGCTTGGTGTCCCGCTTCTGCAACTTTTCTTCTTCCCACCAATCAATGTTTAATCCTAATTCGTCTGTGTCCGTAGACCAGAGGATTCCTAAAACTGTCACGTCATGTGTATATCGCAATCGCTAAATTTCCATTTTCTCAGAATCATCGAAGAAGACTCTATAACATTTGTAGCTTGAATTAAAAATTCATCTAACTCTTCCTTAGAATTCACACTGCAGACTAGATGATCGTCCATGTAAAACTAATTACTTTCAATTACCCAAGGAAAGTTGAAATTGCTGTCTTTCAGTTTATTCAAATGAGTCTTGTGATTACTGCACATAACAAAAATGGACTCGGTTTTAGGCCGAATACAACTCTGGTATGTCTTAATGAATTGATCTCTCCTTCCTTGTTCCCCCAAAGTATTTTCAAAAAATCGCGATCCTTTTCCTCCACGTTAATTCTAAGAAAAGCCTTTAATGCATCGGCACAACAACCGATTAAATTTTCTCTAAATTATTGGCAATAATTCAATAAAATGATGCATCGAAAACAGGTCTCACTCGGGTTGTGTTACTTTGTTCACGTACGACAGCTCGGTGCGGAAGACAGTGTCCTTTATCGTTATCTTCAGCTTCCTCTAAAATGCCAGTCAGAGTTGGACTGGGTCAAGCATAGAGTGACCCAGTGACCCGGTGACCCAGTTAGTTTACTGACCCAGTGACCCGGTGACCCAGTGACCCGGTGACCCAGTTGACCCGGTGACCCAGTTTGACCCGGTGACCGAGCTTGACCCGGTGACCCTGCTTGACCCAGTTTGACCCAGTGACCCAGCTTGACCCAGTTTGACCCGGTGACCCAGCTTGACCCAGCTTGACCCAGTGACCCAGCTTGACCCGGTGGCCCAGCTTGACCCAGTTTGACCCGGTGACCCAGCTTGACCCGGTGACCCAGCTTGACCCAGTGACCCATCTTGACCCAGCTTTACTCAGTGACCCGTCCTGACCCGGTGGCCCAGTAATTAAATTATTGTTAGGTATCATCCAAAACAATTTCAAGTAACTTTTAATTTAAAAAAAAAACTTCCTCAATAATATTCGGCAACAAGCACGTAGCCCAATTTCATTCAAGAGAACTAATACCTAAAAAAATCAAATGCATTTGTTCATTTCTCCAAGGTAACGAAACAGTGTAGCGTTTATTTTCGTACTTCAAATTCTCATGAAAATTTTTCATGGTCTCTTCTTTTTTTATCACAATTGCATCATCTTTGATACCAAGAAGTTCCAATTCCCAGAATTTAGTTTCGAGGTCGTGTATTTCTTCTACGTGATTTATGGCAACACACGTTGAGACGGTCCTAAGTGCAGAGGGTCTTCCTAACACAGTCCAGCCAAATAAAGTTTCAAATGCCGTGAGATTTTTATCTAAAACTCGTCGGTTTCCGTTCAGTAGAGAACCGAAATAGTCAGCTCCTATCAACATTTCTATTGGACCGCTACTAGCTCTAATTTCTGTATCTTTTCCTTCAAGTTTAACATTAACCTGCGTGGTATAGTTGGTTATCCAATCTGTTCCTAATACTTCCATTTCTAAAATAGTGTCTCTTGATTGTGCTGTAATTTTATAGCAATTCAGTTCTTGTTCTTTTGATGTTACTCCACTGAAGAGGGCAAATGCTACTTTTCCAGTTCCAATAATGGGCAATTGCAATTTTGTCGCGATGCTACTAATTACATAAGATCTCTGAGATCCCGAATCTACAAGGGCTTGTACTTTACGGACTTGTCCCCATCTTCCTCTAATTGGAACTAAAATTGTTGGCAAAATCGTAGCAACTGATATAACTACAGAGTTTGAAGATGTTTCCTTATTTTCGAATTTTTCAGGATTCGGTTGCACTTCACTCTCATTCTCTTCTTGTGGAACTCCTCTTCCAGTCGAATAGAAGCGGTTTACAGGACACATAGGTAGAATATGCCTCTTCTGACAAACAGGGTAGTTTTCATTCATTTTACAATCTTTGAGAGTAGACCTTTTTCGGTACATATAAAGCATGCTCCCTTCTTCAATAAAATAGCCTTCTTATCGTCTATTTTCATCCTAAGCGCCTTCCTGCAGTTTTTTCCTTTATGTCCGGGTATTTCACAAAAAATTATCAAGTCCTCGTTTGAGATCGAAGGGACTTCAGCGCATTTTTGTGTGGCAGATCAGTATTCTATTAGCCACTTTCGACTCAACCATCAATAACAGATCTTGTCGAAGGCTACTACATTCACTAACCGCTTCCCACTTTCCGCGTGCACCCGCAATTCGCTTTTAAAGTTTTGACTCCACCATCAGTAAGATCGTGTCGGGGGCTACCACATTCCCTTTGACGGTACCCACTTCCGACGTTCCGTTCACCCGCAATTCGCGTTTGAAGATTTGACTCCACCATCAGTAAGATCGTGTCGGGGGCTACCACATTCCCTTTGACGGTACCCACTTCCGACGTTCCGTTCACCCGCAATTCGCGTTTGAAGATTTGACTCCACCATCAGTGAGATCGTGTCGGGGCTACCACATTCTCTTTTACGGTACCCACTTCCGACGTCCCGTTCACTCGCAATTCACTTCTATTGGCGACACGAGAAAGAGAGACAGCGATTCGAGATTTACGAAACGTTAAACCGCGTGAGTTCGCAACGGAAGGTAAAAGGCGCCCGAAGTTGACTACTTCTCGAAGACGCGCGCGCGCGCCTCGCAAAAGGTCGTTAATTTCGCCCCTATGACAAAAAACAAAATTCCGCCACGCAGGAGTTGTGCGCGTTTACAACATCTTTCCGACGACACCAATTTCAAAAGAATCGGACCAAAACTGTAGTAGAAGATAGGAAAAAACTGAAAAACCTTCACGTTAGTATACTACGCTCGAGGATGACGCCCAGATGTCGCCAACCCCACATCATGTAGCCCTGTCCCCAAGGTTTACAAATTACACGGCCTTGTAGATACACGTACACCCGTTGCCTTTCTACAAGAGTTCTTCTACGCGCCCACATTTGCTGCCAGCCAGCCAGCCAGCCAGCCAGCCAGCCAAAGTGAGATTAAAAGCTACTTTTTAGCGCATTTTTGCAAAAAATTTTTTTTGTAAAAAGTAGCTTTTAATCTCACTTTGGCTGGCTGGCTGGCTGGCTGGCTGGCTGGTCGGCTGGCTGGCTGGCTGGCTGGCAGTAAATGCGCGCCCGTAGAAAAACGCTTGTAAAAAGACAAGGAGTGTACATGTAACTATCGGGGCCGTGTAATTAAGAACGTTAGGGATGGGGCTACAAGATTTGGAGTCGACGACATCTGGACGCCATCCCCGAGCGTATTATACTAACCTGGAGATTTTTCAGTTTTTATCTATCTTCTTCTACAGTTTTTCTCCGATTGTTTTCAAATTGGTGTCGTCGGGAAGATCTTGTCAACGCGCACAACTCCTGCGTGGCGGAATTTTGTTTTTTTTTCCTAGGGGCGAAATAAACCACCTTTTGCGCGGCGCGCTACGAGGGGTAGTCGACTTTGGGCGCCCAAAAGTTTCTTACAGCGCGAATCGCGGTCTCTCTTTCTCGTGTCACTAATAGAAGGTCGAGCTATGTGAAGTACCCAAAAGTTGAATACGATTTTATGCCGGGATTTTAGCGAAATCTACCAAAATGTGAATTACGAATGAACGGGACGTCGGAACTGTGTATCGACAAAGGGAATGTGGTAACCCCCGACGAGATCTTACTGATGGTGGAGTCGAAACTTCAAATCCGAATTGTTGCGGGTGATCAGAAGTGGGTGTCGACAAAGGGAATATGGTAACCCCCAAAGGATTTTAATGATGGTGGAGTCAAAACTTCAAACGCGAATTGCGAGTGCACGGTAAGTGAGAAAATGGTACCGACAAAGTGAACGTGGTAGCTTTCGGCAAGATCTTATTGATGGTGGAGTCAATATTGGCTAATAAAACACTGATCTGCCACACAAAAATGCGCTGAAGTCCCTTCGATCTCACACGAGGACTTTGATCATTTTTACAAATAAATTTGCAAAAATGCGCTAAAAATACAAATATTTTCAAAGGTTCTTTCTTTAGTATGTAGCACTTGAGCTGTACGCGTTCGTGTTGGAAAAGGGTCAAAACATCGAGAAGCTAATTTTACCCTCTGCTCTGTATTTGCTTCTCAACAGGTAGTGCGCGTCGAAATGCTTTGAGCGTTTCTTCAGGAAGAGTAGATTCAACTATTGGGGTAATTATAGGAGCACAATCTTTCATGTTAATTTGCAAACTTTCTAGAGAACGTAATGCTGTCTCAACCTTATCATGTATTTGAAGAATATCCTGTCTAGATTTCGACTGCCGTATGCAAAGCTGCAACAAATCTCTCGTGTACAATTCGCCTAATAAATCTTGGTTTCCGTAGCGTTCTTTTAGGGAATTCAAAGCCTTAGGATAATTTTCAGACGTTGGCGGAAATCCTAAAACTAATTCTTTCGCAGGCCCTGAGAGAGCCTGCACCAGATATTGAAGTTTCTCTACGTCGTCCAAAGAAGCTTTGTCGAACTTTTCAAAGTGAGCCCACCAGCCGAGCCACTCCTCTAATTCTCCATTAAAAACTCGTAAATCTAGCTTAGGTAACTTAATTCTACCTACTTCAGGTCCATTCGATACATTAACACCAGCGGATGTAATTTCACAACGCGTATTCAATAAAGTGCAGCGGTATATTTCTTCTTGGTAGTGCTGCGCGCCTTCGGCTTCGGTTATTAGGACTTCTTCCGAATCATTCGACTCGGCAAGAAGATTCATCATTTCTTCATTCATTTTCGCTAATTCTTCACCTTTCATTTTCAACCAATGAATCTTTGTGTCAAACGTCGTCTGATCTCTGGTATCTAGCGCCAATTCAATTTCCTTAATAGTCTTTGTAATCATTGCTCGCATTGGAGCGCGCTTCCTGCTAAGGGATGCTTGGTTCATCTTTCCTTCGTTTTCTTGAGATTGCAAGATCTATATACACGGTCGCCAATTATGTGGTTTCTTACCTAAAAGAATAGGTAATGAATTCTATTTATAAATGAGTCCTGTCACGGATTAAGTTCAAATCGTTTTATTTTTCTTTTCCTGTCAAAATCGCAAAATTTCTCATCTGACGTTTTACAAAAACAAAAACTCATCACACTTCAATAATAAAATCAATTCATCCTTTAAACATACACAAACACATTTTCCAACATTTCCCTTAAAATGTTCGGGTTAAAAAAGCAATAGGTACGCTATTACAAAAAGCATTCTCCTAGCCTATGTAAATATTTTCAAATGTTGTAGATGCACCAAATTTGAGCACCCATATCGTGGGTACATCATCCACTCCAAGGCTGGCGAGCTGAAACGAAGCTCGACGAGATTCAATAGTAAGAGTCGCGTATGTCTCCTCTTTCCAAGGCCAACCTTGGAGCTCCTGGACATCGGCAGTGGACTCTTCAAATTTTCAACGTTTTCCGCGACCGTACAGAGGTAAGTCGATAATCGCAAGACCGCAACCTCAACCTCACCTTACAGAATCGCCTCACTACTACCGCCCCAAGTTGATGTGATCAAGATAATAAAAAATTGCGAATGTAAAGACGGACGAGAGTTAGTGCTTGCGAGTTTAGCCATTCAGCTCGCCTTCGTTGAGCTGCTCAAGGAGTTGAATTTATCGTTAGACTACACGGCGGGGATGTCCGTCGGGGAGTTATCCGCCGGTTACGCAAACGGGCGGATTAATTTCGAACAGGCAATCGAGGTCGGGTACGAAATTTCTCGACTGATGAGCGATGACCTGTGTCTCGATTACGCCTTAAGTACCAAAAGCTCGGTACTGTTGAGTCGGCTACAAAAACGGATACCCAATCCCGAAGGAATAATTCACAGTCTCCTAAATCCGAAACCTTTGGAAGCGCGCGTGTTGCAAAGAAAACACTATCCTCAGTTGGCGGTTGTCGTACTCGGTTCCCAACAGATACGGCTGAACGGTTTCACTTCCTTGAACATTTCGGGCTCGGATGTCGTTACCTCATTTCTGGATGCAGTGGGAAGGTGAGTAGCGACGATAGCACGATCTCCTCCTGCAGAGATCTCTTGCAGTATTTACATGCTGGGTCACAATCTCAACGTGGAAGTTCTGTACCCACCAGTCAAGTGGCCGGTTGGTCGTGGAACGCCCATGATCTCGCCGCTAATAAAGTGGAACTACGACATAGATTGGCTTTCAAGTTTTCACTCGTACTCCAAGAAGGTCTGGTATGCGGACAGTCATCTTATTACTTTGGTTAGTAAGGAGATTGACTGGTCTATTCTACCAGGTCACGTCATTGATGGTAAGTCACATCACAGTTGTTAAAAGACAGCTTTTAAATTATGAGCTCGAACAGGTTAATTTTGTAAATTTCATGGACAAGAATGAAACTTATAAGTATCTTGGTTTTCAGCAAAACACACACCTACATTAAACATACGAGTATAAAACAAACACTTATCAGACATTACCTACAAAGAATACGCAGTATAAACGGTAGAAATACAATCAAAGCTATTGGACAGATACAGATTTAGAACAAATACAGAGAAACACCCGTACACTATTAACAAAACACCATATACATCACCCTCACTCCTCTACTATACGACTTTACCTTCCTCGTTCGGAAGGAGGTAGAGGACTTACAGATATAAAACTATTACACCAAACACAAATACACAATTTGCGACAATACTTTTATAACAAATCAGATACTTCAATCCTAAACAAAACAGTAACATTATGCAGACAAATCTTAAACAATACTTAACCTACACGAAACTAATATACTCTCACCCATGTCCAAACTTACATACGTCACAAATAACATACAGACATGGAACCAAAAGCCTTTACATGGACGATTTCCACAGGAGGTTAGCCAGGATTGTGTTGATTCTATAGCAACGCACACTTGGTGATCTGAAAGTGATATCTTCCCGGAGACTGAGGGTTTCATGGTAGCAATACAAGACCAGGTCATTAATACACGCAACTAAAAAAAAGACATACATAAAGACAAAACAGTGACAAATGTTTGTTCTCGACTCTGTTCACAAACATCAGAAACAATCCAACATATAATATCGGCATGCACACGACTTGCACAAACTGAATACAAACATCGACACGATCAGGTAGCTAAAATCATACATCAAAAATTAGCACTTAAACACAATCTCATAACAGATAAGACACCATATTACAAATACACGCCACAGATAATACTTGAAAATAACACACGTAAATTATATTGGGACAGGACACTACTCACAGACAAAACTATCGACAATAATAGACCAGATATTACACTTATAGATAAAACACAAAAATCCATTTGTATTATAGACATTGTCATTCCCAACACTAACAACTTAACTAAAACAAATGCAGAAAAACACCGCAAATACACTGATATAGCTCTAGAATTTAAGGCGCAATGAAAAATGAGATCTACTGTTATAGTTCCTATTATTCTTAGTGCCAAAGACAATACATCATAATTTACAACTATTAGGTTTAGATAAAAACACATACAAACATTTACAAAAAGGAGTCATTATCAACACATGCCATATTGTTCGTAAATTTCTAAACATAACACAAGATACTATATACACACATGATGCACAACGTATATATGTAAACAACAGCACTCGTTCACAACACGGTACACAACATACTGTAATATCTCCATCTCTAACCCAAACAAACACACAAATACAACAAACGATACAACAATTATTACAATCAGTAAAGATGCACGTCTTAGCACGAGTAAACGACACAAAACACCTTCCACTCTGAAACAAACCACATTATCACAACCCATTCGTATTCAACCCAAACGCAAAGCCAAACAAACACTATCACAATAAACAACACCAATTTGCTAAACTTGTAGGAAACGTGTTTTTTTTAATTTATTATAATTTTTTAATTAATTAATTTATTTATTCTTAATTACTATCGTTTACTTTACGGGCATCTCCTCATGTTACTCCACATTATAAATTGTCTCACATGGACAGGTGGTCCAAAACCAAGTTTGAAGTTGCACGTGTTTAGGTATGACGATAATGCCCGCAATCGGTTACCTCTTCATGATCTGGGAGACGTACTGTAAAATGGTGGACGTTCCAATGAACATTTCTCGGGTGCGCTTCGACAACGTGCGGTTCCTTAAAGCCGTCCACATTACCAAATTATCGGAGATGGCTTTCAAGGTCACTATCGGCAGAGGAACCAACCGATTTGAGGTAAATAGCGTCTGGACCAACCCTCCTACTTTGAATACTTTAGATCGGAGACGTCGACGAAGTGATCGTTTCCGGAAGCATACGCACTCTCTCAGACACGGACGAATTCATTGACCTCGCCCTGTCACCTGAAGATGATGAAGGAATCTCCTTCGCTACAAAAGATATTTACAAAGAGCTACGCCTGCGGGGTTACAATTACTCGTAAGTGACTTGACGAAGGTGATGGTTTGTATTGAATTCTTCTAGGGGAGCGTTTCGCGCGCAGGAAACAGCCCATATAACGGGATTGATCAGCTGGATCAAATGGGACCGTAACTGGATCGCATTCATCGATAACATGTTGCAGATGAAGCTTCTCGGGGAAGATACGCGAAATCTATACGTTCCCACGTTCATCGGCCACTTGAAGATTGACGCCATGAAGCACTTCGAGTACGTTAAGCAGTTGGACAACCCATCTCTACTGCCTGTGTACAATCATCGCGAGGCGGATGCCATCAGGTGAGTTAGGCAGACTCTTCCGCGATGATTATAAAAAGTGGCGTAGCTGTGGAGGTATCGAGCTGCGGAAGCTTTACGCTACTCCGATCATGCGCCGTAAGGTAACGGTCGAGCCGGTCCTGGAGACGCACAAGTTCGTGCCGTTTAACACCGAGCTGCCCATGCAATCTGCTGTGCGCGTCCTGGTGCAGATCTTCCTTGAGAACACACTCTCGCTGAAGGTTAAGATCGTGGAGGTCGCGCAAACTGACGCGATATCTCCAATTCTGCAAGAGGCTTTGAATGATCAGCCGCTGGTTAAGACTGAAGTTACAATTTTGGGCGATGAAAGCTTGAGTGTTCCAAACATGAAGGTCCATAACAAGGCGTTGTCCACCGAAAAGCAGTGCGCGATAGTCATCCTCGAGGGGGCATCAGGTAACCTTGAACTACTCCAGGAGGCTGAAGGCGTCCTCAAGGAGAACGGCATTATTATCTCAAGGGAGGGAGATTATCTTTCTCCAAATTTCCCTGGCCTCGCGCTTCTGGCGCAAATAAAAACTGAAACGGAAACGCTAGTGTTGCTGAGGAAGGTTGTTAGCTACCCAAAAGAGCACGTGATCATGGCCAAGTTTGATGGTACAACTTACGACTGGTTGTCCAAACTTCAGAGTGCCATGCGAAATGAAACCAAAACGTTGGTTGTTGTTGAAAATGAGCCCTTAAGCGGAGTACTTGGATTTGTCAATTGTCTCAGGCGCGAACCTGGGGGGATGAACTTGAAATGCGTGTTCGTTCAGGACGAGGACGTTAAATTTAACCTCTCCGATCCACTCTTCAGCGAACAGCTAAGCAAAGACTTGGCGATTAACGTGTTGAAGCACGGCGCTTGGGGTAGCTATCGCCATCTGCCGCTGGAGCGCTTGGGGGAGGTTGAAAGGCAGCACGTCTTCTGTAACCAGAACGTCGTTGGAAATCTGTCGACGCTCAGCTGGGTCGAAGGGTTACTCTCGCATGACAACGCTAAGGAACCCGAACGGACGGTCAAGGTTTGTACGAAGGTTCCACCAGGTGGTGGTTTAACGACTTGTCTAGGTATACGCCAGTTCCATCAACTTCATGAATATTATGTTGGCTTCCGGTCGTGTTCCTTCGGAGGCGTTCATAAAGGATCGGCTTGCTTTAGCCACAGCGCAAGGTGTTGAGTACGCTGGGATTGATGCAAAGTAAATTCTCTTAGTGAGTGAACCTGATGTAACGGGTAATTGTAGGGGCGAGAGGGTAATGGGAATTCTACGGTTGGGGGCTATGGCCAGTTCCGTTGTCCCCGACGGTAATATGACCTGGAGGATACCGGACGAGTGGACTCTGTCGCAGTCTGCCAGTGTTCCGATTACCTACTCGACGGTGTTGTGCAGTTTCTTCGTGGTAAGTGTCGGCGTAGCCCTTTCGTCGTTTAGTAGCACGGTTTTAGAGCGCCCATCTCAAACCGGGACAAAGTCTTCTGATTCACTCCGGTGCTGGAGGCGTAGGGCAGGCCGCCATCCAAATAGCCTTGTTTTGCAAGTGCCAAATATTTACGACTGTCGGTACCGAGGAGAAGCGGAAGTTCATCATGGAGACATTCCCAGAAATACCAGGTGAGCAAGTAAACTAATCCACACGAACTTATTCGGTCCCTAGCTAGCCACATCGGCAACTCTCGTGATACCTCCTTCGTGCAGATGGTTTTAAAACACACGAAAGGTCGAGGGGTCGACTTGGTTCTAAACTCCCTGGCCGAGGAAAAACTGAAAGCGACTCTTCAGTGCCTTGCACCGAAAGGATACTTCGTCGAGATCGGCAAATACGACTTAGTCAATAGCAACAAATTTGCTCTTTCTGTACTAAGGAAGGGGCGTAGTTATGCCGGTTGCATGTTGGACATGTACTTTAGAGACGCCCACAATCAAAAACACAAGCTAAAACAAATCCTGGATCAGTTCTTGAAACAAGGGGCGGTTAAACCTTTGCACATTACCACCTTCAACATGGATCAAGTGGAAGAAGCCTACCGTTACATGGCGGCAGGTAAACACATAGGAAAAGTCGTCGTTAAGATACGCGATGAAAACCAGCAATCGCTCGATCTATTCAAGGCTCTCCCAAGGTATAGTTTCTATTGAAAGGATCGCTAGTGACCGACCATTCCAGATTCTCCTGCGACCCTTCCATGACGTACATCATTTTAGGAGGCTTGGGAGGGTTTGGACTAGAACTGGTTGATTGGTTGATCCTAAGAGGTGCCCGAAAGTTAGTTTTAGTATCTCGAAATGGTGTCCGAAATGGTTACGCAGCGTCCAGAATTAGGTGAGCCCAATTAGGTTTATCCCTTCACAAACATCTTCCCGTAGAGTTTGGAAAATGTACGAGGCTACCATAAGGGTGTCCACAGAGGACGTCACCATCGAAGAAGGTTGCGCGCGACTGTTAGAGAGCTCGGAGAAGCTTGCGCCTGTAGCCGGGATCTTCAATTTGGCGGTAGTTCTTCAGGACGACCTCTTCGAGAACCAGAAGGAGGAGAACTTCGTGAACACGCTCTCGCCGAAGGCCCGTGCGACGCAGCACCTAGATATCCTAAGTCGGCAGCTCTGCCCCCGCCTACAGTAAGCTACCCCAACCCGGTACTTCGCACTGTACTAACCGCCCCTTAGGCACTTCGTTGTCTTCTCGTCGGTCTCGTGCGGAAGGGGCAATACAGGCCAGACCACTTACGGCATGGCCAACTCCATCATGGAAAGGATATGCGAGAAACGGAAACGGGAGGGCTACCCAGGTTTGGCAATACAGTGGGGGGCAATCGGAGAGGTGCGCCTTTCGTCACCGTCCAGAATTCTTCACGTACTATTTTAGGTCGGCCTGGTTGCGGAAATGCAGGAGCAGCACAAAGAGATTGTTATCAGTGGCACATTGCAACAGCGTGTCGCATCCTGTCTGAGCACCTTGGAAATCTTCCTCCTGCAAAACGAGCCCATCGTAGCAAGTATGGTAGTGGCGGAAAAAAAGAGCGCCGCGGAAGGCGCCGAAAGCGTCATCACCGTGATCAAAGGGATCATGGGTACGTTTACTTCAACTAGCATCCTCAACTACCTTGCTTTGTTCAGGAATAACCGATTTGAAAACGATCAGCGAGCACGCCTCTTTATCCGAAATAGGCATGGACTCCATGGCCGCCGTTGAAATAAAGCAGATCCTCGAACGCGACTGTGAAGTCTGCCTAAGCCCCAAGGAACTCCGAACACTCACCTTCGCCAAACTAAAAGAGCGGTTATCCAAAGAAGCATCCGACCCCGTAGCTCCAAGCCTACCCCCACGCAATGACATCTTCGCCCACTTCCGCACGGAGGAGGAATCAAAATTACCATTAAAACAACTGGAAAGTTTAGCTAAGAAAGAAGATGAGGCGCCATTGGCGATCTTTCTGCCGGGAATTGAAGGAGTAGCCGAAACCATGGAGTCCTTGGCTAACAAGCTGAAGGCCCATGTAGAATGCGTCCAGTACGCAAACGCCGCTGGTGATTTCCGCTTGGAATCCTTCGCTAAATCACTATCAAAGGTAATTATTTCCATCATTTCTTCTTTTCTAATCGGATTTTAGCTAATACCCCACGTCGAGCATAACTTCAACCTCGTAGCATATTCGTATGGTTGTGTGGTCGCGTTAGAGCTCGCTTCCATCTTAGAAGTCCGTGGATTGATCGGAAAAGTGGTTTTAATCGACGGCGCGCCGGAGATGCTAAAGAAACTCATAAAGCTACAGTACCCGTCGGAACATGAGTCAGATGCCTCATTGGAGACGGCCGTACTGTTTAACATAATCACCTCATACGTACCCATGGAGGCAACAATAGGGCACAGGGTAAACTTTTCCTCAACCCACGCACCATTTCATCGATTTTTCTTAGGAAACTGTCCGCCAGTTGCAAACGTTGGAAGAACGCGTCGAGTACCTACTGGAAGCGATACCCGAAGGAATTCCGCATTCGAAAGAGTACCAAAGGCGGGTGGCCATCGCAATCTGCGAGAAAACGAAATCCGTGTACAATTACGAGGCGAAATTTCCAAAGCTGAAGTCGGAGGTGACGCTAATCAAGCCGAACGAATCGCCCTTCGTCAACTACGACGTGGACTACGGACTGCAGAAGTTGTGCGAAAAACCTGTTCAGGTTCATACGGTCGAAGGAACCCACATGACGATCGTGCAAAATCCCGAACTTGCCGACTATATCAATAAGATAATCAACAATTAAAGAGTAATAGTTAAATTGTTGTTCTTTTCCTCAAATACTGGTAAAATGTATACCTAGCAACCAATGAGAACTCGACTATCATTTTAAACAAAATTCATTCCGTTGGTTGCTAGGGGGGGGGGGGGGTAGTCAGTATTCCAGGAAAATCATTGAAAAACGAAAAGGTTGCGATCAGGTTTTCTGTGGATTAAGAATACTATGAAAGGTTTTCAGACCTTGGAAAGTTTAGATCCAAGATTATCGCACTCTTCAGGATATACGAAACTTCTTCAACTTTTTCAATATCCTCATTGTCCCTAATACTTGAAAACTCTCGAGCGTCTTTACTGCATCTGGTGTCTCTACCGTCTCCATCACTTTTACCGTCTTCACTGCCTTTTCTCTTTACCGGCCGTCTCCTTTTCTGAAGAACAGTGTTGGAACCAAGCATAGCAGGGCTGGGGAAATATATAACTGTGTAACGGCTTTGTTACATTTAACGGTACTGGTAAAAATGTTCTTTAACAATTAATTTTTTGTAATGAGATAGGTAATTAAATCCACGCCTAGCTCAGTAATAAATAAACTCTAAATTACTCTTAGGTTGCGAGAAGTTGGGTAATTATGTCCCCTTAGAATTGATGCTTTGGCTTATTTGAATATATTGATGAAAATAATATCGTTAGCGACTTCTCTCCCACCCAATTTTTCCTAACACAGTCGCCGAACCCAAATACCGACACAGCCACATGAAAGGGTATAGCTCCTCGTGCTCTTTAAGATTTCCCATACCTCTCTCTTTTGCTCTCGTTTTCTTCCTTTCTGTTTCTCCCTTTCTTATTAAGACAACAGTCTTCTGCCTGTCCCTTTTTCTGTCTACTCCTCCCTTGACTCCATGTGCTTCTGTATAATTCTTCCTCCACCTCCAGTACTCTTGTAAATTATCGAGTTAGTAGATGTATGTCAAAAACTGTCAATAAAAATTAAGCTTTAGTCTTGTATCCTTTTTGTAAATATAAGCTTGTAGAAAGAAATATTGTGGTTGGTTAAACTCTTTATTTCAAAGACAATAACTCTTATACTTTCTTTCTTCATGTTGTCTTTGTCTCTGCTCCACTCTTCCCATCTTTAGTATCAGAATCACAGAGGCTGCCACCATTTGGTGATTAGTGGTGTTCCATGTGTTGGTTGGAGATTCCTACACTGCTGTCTTATAATTTAATTAATTACGCGCGCGTTATTTGTGTCTTGATAAAGACAACTACCGCCTGTGTTTCGAAAAGTTGGAATTATAACCCGCCCCGTAAAATTCTCACGAAAAAATCGAGAAAATGATGCCAAAACGGTAACCTTCAAGAAGATTTAAAAAGAGAATTTTTATAAACTTATCCAAAATTGTAATTGATCCAAGGACTTCTGGAAAATGAGTTTTTGAACATTTTATGATGGGCAATACATCCTGTGCTCCTTTCTTTCCGTTTGAATTATTAAATGCTCCTCTTGCATAATCAACCAACTGGCGCCCAAAATCAGTCAATTGACGTATAGAACAATGTCACCTAATTAACAATTCAAGGATTGTTAGTGACGAACGGCATTTGTATGCACGAAACTAGATTTGACCTACTATCGCATAGATCGGCCTATTTGCATTTGTCAAATTGTTCTAGTCGGGAGGGAAGGAAAATTGCAGAATCCGCCAAGGATGTGATTTAAAGTTGTGAACTTGTGATCGAACTTAATTGTAAAATTTCCACTTTGCTGTTCCTATGCACAGACAATGGTGGTTAAAGGTTAATACGAAGAGGTCCCCGATATTGTTTGGAGACATTGACACTATGGCCTTTTGCTTAGAAATTTGCATACCTAATGTTTTTGATATGTATTTAAAAGGCGGCTCCCCCGTTCGTTCGATTTAGTTGACCCTTATCAATTGTGCTGAAAATGGTTTTAGAAAAAAACGGAGGAGTCGCACTCGCCCATCCCTTGCAAGGCGAGGAGATCGTCATTACCGGTAAGTCAGTGGTAGTGGTGATCAAACTGATGGTTCTTTACGAAAAGGGATGTCTGGGCGTTTTCCCGAGTCGGACGACGTATACCAGTACAGGAGCAACATCTACAACAAAGTCGACATGATCACCAGTGATAATCGACGCTGGTTACCGACCAACCCCGAGATACCCCATCGTATTGGTAAAATTAATCATCTCGAAAAACTGGACGCTGGTCAATTTGGTATATGACATGGTCCCGTAGCTGGGCGCAGGTCTCATCGTGAGTGTTGCAGGTTTGCATTACCACGAAGCCAACCAGATGGATCCCATGGTCAAGATTACCTTGGAGAAGGCGTACGAGGCGATCGTTGATGCTGGTTACAACGAGAGCGAGATGGACGGTGCGGACTGTGGTGTCTTCATAGGGTGCTGCTTTTCGGAAAGCGAGGAGGTCGTGCTTATGGCGACGATTGCCAGTCCGAACTTTGGCGTGACAGGGTACGTGATCATTTCCATTACTCTATGAAAGGAGTAAAACTGTAAATCGTCCTTTATCAACACGACGACGTCTCCCACCTCTAAATTGTCAGTCTGGTTACTCCATTTTCTCCTATCATGTAGGGAATCTAGACATTCGGTCGATTTTCCAAAAATTCCTCGTCATCTTTGGAGTAGTTTACATCAGGCCATTTGAGCTTCTTGCGGGCGCACGATCAAAATTTTATAAGTAAGAGGAAGGGGGGTGCCACTTCGCGCATCATTGATGTTGGAATGAGCCCCTGTGGGCCCTTCTTCCATTCCCATTGAGTGGCATGTTTTTCCACCCCCAACCACTACTGAACTCGGTGGTAAGTTTGGTAAGCGTGAAATATTGCACCATCTTCCATTAGTGACAAACGGGCCATAGAGATTTTTGAGATTCTTAAGGTTCTTGGGGTTCTTGAGACTTTTAAAGTTCTCGAGATTGTCGAAATTCTTGTTTGTTGAGGTTCTTGATAACCTTGAGATCCTTGATATTCTTGAGTTTCTTGAAGTTCTTGAGATTCTACAAATTTTTGAGATTTTTTAAATTCTTTTAAGATTCTTGAGATCCTTGATAGTCTTGAAATACTTGAGATTGTTGAGATTCTTCAGACTCTTGAGATTACTAATAGATTTTTGAGACCCTTGCGATTCTTGTGATTCTTGAGATTCATAAAATTCTTGAGGTTCTTCAAATTCTTCAGATTTCTCAGTTTCTTCAGAATTTTCAGATTCTTCACATTCCTCAGATTCTTCAGATACTTCAAATTTTGGAGAATCTTCAAATTTCTCAGATTATTTACGTTCTTCAAATTCTTCAGGTTCTTGTTGAGATTCTTGAAGTTCTTGATATTTTTGCGATTCTTGAGATCATTGAAATTGAGTTTCTTGAAATTCTAAAGATTTTTGAAATTCTTGAGATTTTTTAGATTCTTAAGGTTCTTGGGGTTCCTGAAGCTTTTAAGATTCTCGAGGTTGTCGAGATTCTTGAGTTTGTTGAGGTTCTTGATATTCTTGAAACACATCCATCATTTGTTCGTCTGAAAACTGAGCGTTCGTTCTAAAATTCAGCTCCTAGGTACCTGACCGGTGGTCAGCCTCGCTTATAGATCTACGAAGAAATTCTTGAGCGTGGATGCAATATCGCGCGGACTTCTCCACGGAATTGAGGTTGCTACCTTTCACCAGCTTGTCGCTGTTTCCCAAATTTGGTTGCAATCAGTTCTACCGTTTAGCCGGAAATGATAGTACAGGCAGACAGACCGACATCATCGTGGTTTTGGTTGATTCGGATTCCTGGTGTTTCAAAAAACGTGCGGGTGGTAAAAATGGATTGAATGGATCCTTCTTCTTTAGGGGTTCTCGATCGGTGACTGCCCAACGAATCAGTCACTACTTCAATCTACGAGGGCCATCGCATACTATTGACACGGCGTGTAGCAGCTCACTTTACGCATTGGAGCACGCGTACCGAGCCATTCGGACTGGTCGCTGCGACAGCGCATTGGTTGGTGGAGTCAGCTTGTGCCTAAACCCCACAACGTCCCTGCAGTTTTTTCGGTAAGTGATTGAGGATGTGGAAGGGTCTGGTAACGCAGTTGTTGCAGGTTAGGCGTTCTGAGTGCGGACGGGATGTGCAAACCGTTTGATGAAGACGCGAATGGATACGCACGCTCCGAGACCGTTTCCGTTGTGTTCCTGCAGAAAGCTAAGGATGCTCGACGAATTTACGCACAGGTAAAAAAACCCCTTAGTCAGCTCGGGTCTAGTTCTCTCTTGCAGTTGCTGCACACAAAAACAAACAGCGACGGTTACAAAGAGCAAGGGATCACGTTCCCGTCGAGCGAAATGCAAAAGGTCCTCTTAGACGACGCGTACGAGGAGTGCCAAGTGGATCCCGCCGTAGTCGATTTCCTCGAAGCTCACGCCACCGGTACCAAGGTCGGCGATCCCGAGGAAATGACCGCGATGGAACAAGTCTTCTGCACCAACCGCGACAGACCACTGATTGTCGGCTCTGTCAAGTCTTACCTTGGTCATCCAGAGGGCGCTAGTGGAATGTGTTCGCTGGTCAAGGTTCTGGTCGGAATGGAGGACGACTGCATTTTGCCAAACATCAACTACAACAAACCGCGGCAAAGCATAAAGGCTTTGGTCGATGGTAGAATGGTGGTCCCTGTGGACAGAACGTCGTGGCCGGAAAACGGTTCGGGGGTGGTTGCGATTAACTGCTTCGGCTTTGGTGGGTCGAACGCGCACCTTATTCTTAAGAGGTTCGAGCAACGAAAGGTTAATGGAGGACTGCCCGAAGATGACTTACCACGACTCATATGCGTTAGTGGTCGCGCACCGGAATCGCTGAAAGCCATCTTTGATGACATCGGTGGGCGTAAACTGGACGCTGAGTATTGCAGGATACTTCAAGAGGTATTCAAGTAAGTACCTTCCTCTAATTTCCCCTCAATTCTCCTGGTGAAGGAAAATATACGGTTTAAAGAGTCATTCGTTGGATGGGGATCATTTTAATCTGAATTACACGTACAATCTTTCCCGAGTCCAACATTCTTTTGTAAATGTTTTAATCAGGATCGCAGAAACTTTAGAACGTGTGAAAATGTTGTAGGAGTCCTAACTTTGAGCACCCTTACCGTGGGTACATCATCCACTCCAAGATTGGCGAGCTGAAACGGAGCTCGACAAGGTTCGACAGTAAGAGTCGCGTATGTCTGCTCCTTCCAAGAACAAGCTTGGAGCTCCTGGAGATCGGCAGTAGACTCTTCAAATTTTCAGCTTTTTCCGCGACCGTACAGAGGTGAGTAGACAACCCCAGGGCCGAAACCTCACCCTCACCTTACAGAATCGCATCACTCCTGCCGCCCCAGGTTGATATATCCAAGATAATCAAAAATTGCGAATGCAACAGCGGGCGAGAATTAGTACTCGCGAATTTAGGCATTCAGCTCGCCTTCATCGAGCTGCTCAAGGAGTTGAATTTATCGTTAGACTACACGGGGGGGATGTCCATCGGGGAGTTATCCGCTGGTTACGCAAATGGGCGGATCAACCTCGAACAGGCACTCGCGGTCGGGTACGAAATTTCTCGGCTGGTGAGCGACGATCTGCGTCTGGAGCACGCCATAAGTACCAAAAGCTCGGTGCTGTTGACCCGGCTACAAAAAGTGCTACCCCATCCAGAAGTGATACTTCATAGTCTACTAAATCCGAAACCTTTGGAGGAACGCTTGTTGCAACAGAGTCGCTATCCCGACCTAGCCGTTGTCGTGCTTGGTTCCGATCAAATTCGGCTGAACGGTTTCACCTTCTTGCACATTTCGAGCTTGGATGTCGTGACCTCATTTCTGGATGTGGTGGGAAGGTGAGTAGTGACTATGAAGCGACCTTTATTCCTGCAGATATATCTTGCAGCCTTTACATGTTGGGTCACAATCTCAACGTGGAAGCTCTGTACCCTCCAGTCAAGTGGCCGGTTAGTCGAGGTACGCCCATGATCTCGCCACTAATCAAGTGGAACTACGACATGGATTGGTTTACAAAACTTCACACGAAGAAGGTCTTGCATAAGGGAATTAACGTTATTCCTCTGGTTAATAAGGAGATTGACTGGACTATCCTACCAGGGCACGTCATTGATGGTAAGTAAGCGGTTCCTTTATCACTTATATAATGCTTAAAGTTACGTGTTCCAACAAATCTCCAAAGTTCTCCCAGATTTGTACTCCTTCAAAATTTATTGTACTTATAAGGATCACAGAAACGAAAAATTGTGTGGAACTAAAATCTGTTTAGTTCGCGTTACATGCTCTCCTAATATCAGTTCCCCCTTACACCATCTCGTATTAAGAGGCGCTCCTGTCTTTCATCTATTTCGTTGGGATTCTTAATCAGCACCATTGATCCAAACCCAGTCTGAACTTGCACGTATTTAGGTATGACGATAATGCCCGCAACCGGGTACCTCTTCATGGTCTGGGAGACGTACTGTAAAATTGTGGACGTTCCAATAGCCGGTTCTCGGGTGCGCTTCGACAACGTGCGATTCCACAAAGCCGTCCACATTTCCAAAATATCGGAGATGGAATTCAAGATCATCATCGGCCGAGGAACGAACAGATTTGAGGTAAATATAGTCTGGGCCAACCCTCCTACATAGTACACTTTAGATCGCAGACGCCGACGAAGTGATCGTTTCCGGAAGCATACACACTCTCTCAGAAACGGATGAATTTATTGACCTTGCCTTGTCACCGGAAGATGACGAGGGAATCTCTTTTGCGTCCAAAGATATTTACAAAGAACTACGTCTTCGGGGTTATAACTATTCGTAAGTGACTTGGCGAAGGTGATGGTTTGTACTGAATTTTTCTAGAGGAGCGTTTCGCGCCCAGGAGGAAAGCCATATTTCCGGATTGATCAGCTGGATTAAATGGGACCGTAATTGGATCGCATTCATCGATAACATGCTGCAGACGAAACTTCTCGGAGAAGATACCCGAAGTCTGTACGTCCCCACGTTCATCGGTCATTTGAAGATTGACGCCATGAAGCACTTCGAGTACGTTAAGCAGTTGGACAACCCATCTCTACTGCCTGTGTACAACCATCGCGAGGCAGATGCCATCAGGTGAGTTAGGCAGACTCTTCCGCGGTGATACTAATTAGTGGAGTAGCTGTGGAGGTATCGAGCTGCGGAAGCTCTACGCTACGCCAATTCTGCGCCGGAAGGTGACAGCCGAGCCGGTCTTGGAGACGCACAAGTTCGTACCGTTTGACACCGAGCTGCCCATGCAGTCTGCGGTGCGCGTCCTGGTGCAGATCTTCCTTGAGAACACACTCTCGCTGAAGGTTAAGATCGTGGAAGTCGCGCAAACTGACGCGATTGCTCCAATTCTGCAAGAGGCGTTGGATGATCAGCCGCTGGTTAAGACTGAAGTTACAATTTTGGGAGACGAAAACCTGACTGCCCCAAATTTGAAAGTCCACAACAAGGCGTTGTCCGCCGAGAAGAAATGCGCGATAGTCATTCTCGAGGGTGCATCGGGTAACCTTAAACTACTCACGGAGGCTAAAGGGGCTCTTAAGGAGAACGGCATTATTATCTCAAGGGAGAAAGGTGGGTTCGCTTCAAATTTCCCTGGTCTGGCGATTTTGGCGCAAGTAAAAACTGAAATGGAAACGCTGGTGTTGCTGAGGAAGGTTGTGGGTTATGCGAAAGAGCATGTGATCATGGCCAAGTTTGATGGTACGGCTTACGACTGGTTGCCCAAACTTCAGAGTGCCATGCGAAATGAAACCAAAACGTTGGTGGTGGTTCAAAATGAGCTCCTCAGCGGCGTACTCGGCTTTGTCAATTGTCTAAGGCGCGAACCTGGAGGAAGGAACTTGAAATGCGTGTTTGTTCAGGACGAGGACGTTAAATTTAACCTCTCCGATCCACGCTTCAGCGAACAGCTGAGCAAAGACTTAGCAATTAACGTGTTGAACCAAGGCGCTTGGGGTGGCTATCGCCATCTGCCGCTGGAGCGCTTGAAGGAGGTTGAAAGGCAGCACGTCTTCTGCAACCAGAACGTCGTTGGAAACTTGTCGACGCTCAGTTGGGTCGAAGGATTGCTCTCACGAGAGAACACTAAGGAACCCCAACGGACGGTTAAGGTTTGTACGAAGTTCCACCAGGTGATGGTTTAACGGATTGTCTAGGTATACGCCAGTTCCATCAACTTCATGAATGTTATGCTGGCTTCCGGTCGTGTTCCTTCGGAGGCGTACACAAAGGATCGGCTTATTTTGGCCACATCGCAAGGTATTGAGTACGCTGGGATTGATGCAAGGTAAATTCTCTTGCTGAGTAAACCTGGTGTAGCGTGCAATTGTAGGGGCGAGAGGGTAATGGGAATTGTACAGTTGGGGGCTATGGCCAGTTCCGTTATCCCTGATGGGGAGATGATCTGGAAGATACCGAGTGAGTGGACCATGGCGCAGTCTGTCAGTGTTCCCATTACCTACTCGACGGTGTTGTGCAGTTTCTTCGTGGTAAGTGTAGGCGTAGCTCTTCCGTCGTTTAGTAACACCTGTTTAAGAGCGCCCATCTCAAACCGGGACAAAGTCTTCTGATACACTCCGGAGCTGGAGGCGTAGGGCAGGCCGCCATTCATATCGCCTTGTTCTACAAGTGCCAAATATTTACCACTGTAGGTACCGAGGAGAAGAGGAAGTTCATCATGGAAACATTCCCTGAAATACCAGGTGAGCAAGTAAACTGCAACAAAAGAACTCATTCGGTCCGTAGCTAGCCACATCGGCAACTCGCGCGACACCTCCTTCGTGCAGATGGTTTTAAAGCACACGAAAGGTAGGGGAGTCGACTTGGTTCTAAACTCCTTGGCCGAAGCAAAACTAAAAGCGACTGTTCAGTGCCTTGCGCCGAAAGGCTACTTCGTCGAGATAGGCAAATACGACTTGGTCAATAGCAGCAAACTTGCACTCTCTGTACTTAGCGAAGGGCGTAGGTATGCCGGCTGCATGTTGGATATGTACTTCAGGGACTTCCACAATCAAAAGCACACACTTCAACAAATTCTGAGTAAATTCCTGAAACAAGGGGCGGTTAAGCCTTTGTCCCTTACCACCTTCAACATGGACCAAGTCGAAGAAGCCTACCGTTACATGGCGGCAGGTAAACACATCGGAAAAGTCGTCGTCAAGGTTCGCGATGAAAACCAGCAATCGCCCGAACTTTTCAAGGCTCTCCCAAGGTACAGTTTCTATTCAAAGGATCGCTAATGGCCGACCGTTCCAGATTCTCCTGCGATCCTTGCATGACGTATATCATTTTAGGAGGCTTGGGAGGATTTGGACTGGAATTGGTTGATTGGTTGATACTAAGAGGTGCACGCAAGTTAGTTTTGGTCTCTAGAAATGGTGTTCGAAATGGCTACGCTGCGTCCAGGCTGAGGTGAGACCAATTGCGATTAGCCCTTCACACAAACATCTTCCCTTAGGGCTTGGAAAACGTACGAGGCCGTCGTAAAGGTGGCCACAGAGGACGTCACCACCGAAAAGGGTTGCGCGCGGTTGTTGGAGAGCTCGGAGAAGCTTGCGCCCGTAGCCGCGATCTTCAATTTGGCGGTGGTTCTTCGGGACGACCTCTTCGAGAACCAGACGGAGGAGAACTTCCGAAACACGCTCTCGCCAAAGGCCCGTGCGACGCAGCACCTAGACACCTTAAGCCGACAGCACTGTCCGCGCCTACAGTAAGCTACCCCAACTTGATTCTTCGCACTCTACTAACCGCCCTTTAGGCACTTCGTTGTGTTCTCGTCGGTGTCGTGCGGAAGAGGAAATGCAGGCCAGACCACTTACGGCATGGCCAACTCCATCATGGAAAGAATCTGCGAGAAAAGGAAACGGGAGGGCTACCCAGGTTTGGCAATACAGTGGGGGGCGATCGGAGAGGTGCGCCTTTTGTCACCGTCCAGAATTCTTCACGTACTATTTTAGGTCGGCCTGGTTGCGGAAATGCAGGAGCAGCACAAAGAGATTGTTATCAGTGGCACATTGCAACAACGTGTCGCATCCTGTCTGAGCACCCTGGAAACCTTCCTCTTGCAAAACGAGCCCATCGTAGCAAGTATGGTGGTGGCGGAAAAAAAGAGCATCGCCGAAGGCGCCGAAAACGTCATCAACGCGATCAGGAGCATCATGAGTACGTTCACGTCCAGTACCAACTTCAATTCTCTTTCTTTGTTTAGAAATAACTGACATGAAGGCGATCAGCGAACACGCCACCTTATCCGAAATGGGCATGGACTCCATGACCGCGGTTGAAATTAAGCAGACACTCGAACGCGACTGTGAGGTCTTCCTAAGCCCTAAAGAAATCCGAACCCTCACTTTCGCCAAACTAAAAGAGCGGTTATCCAAAGAAGCATCTGACCCCGTAGCTCCAACCCCCGCTGCGCGCATTAACTTCTTCTTCGCCCACTTCCCCACGGAGGAGGAATCCAAAATACCATTAAAGCAACTGGAAAGTTTAGCTAAGAAAGAAGATGAGGCGCCATTGGCGATCTTTCTGCCGGGAATTGAAGGAGTAGCCGAAACCATGGAGTCCTTGGCTAAAAAGCTGAAGGCTCACGTGGAGTGCGTCCAGCACACAAACGACGCCAGCGACTTCCGCTTGGAAGCCTTCGCTAAATCACTATCAAAGGTAATTATTTCCATCATTTCTCCTTAAAAATCGGATTTTAGCTAATACCCCACGTCGAAAATCACTTCAACCTCGTAGCATATTCGTATGGTTGTGCTGTCGCGTTAGAGCTCGCTTCCACCTTAGAAGTCCGCGGATTGCTTGGAAAAGTGATTTTAATCGACGGATCTCCGGAAATGCTAAAGGAACTGATAAAGCAGCAGTATCCGTCGGAACACGAGCCGGAAGCCTCCTTGGAGACCGCCATATTGTTTAACTTGATCAATTCATACGCCCCCATGGTGGCAACAGTAGTGCCCCGGGTAAGCTTTGCCGCAGCCCACGCATTATTTTATTGATTTCTCTTAGGAAACTCTTCGCCAGTTGCGCACGTTGGAGGATCGCGTCGACTACTTACTCGACTTGATACCCGAAGGAGTTTCGCACTCGAAAAAGTACCAAAAGCAGGTGGCAATCGCCGTCTGCGCGAAAACGAAATCTGTATACAATTACGAGGCAAACTTTCCAAAGCTGAAGTCGGAGGTGACGCTAATCAAGCCGAACGAAGCGTCCGTCGTAAACTACGACGAGGACTACGGACTGCAGAAGTTGTGCGAGAAACCTGTTCGAGTTCATACGATTGAAGGGACCCACACAACCATCGTGCAGAATCCTGAGCTTGCCGATTTTATCAATAAAATCATCAGCAATTAATAAATAGTTGTAGTTGAATAGTAGTTCTCTTAGAGCCCCACCAGTTTCCTCAATTATTTGTAAAACCTAACCACCCATACCTAGGAAACAATGGGAAAGCAAACGGTCGCTTCACTTTTGACGTACCTTCATAGGTACTTAATTTGAGATAACCCTATCAACGCTCCTTCCGTTGTTGCTCGAGAGTTAATATTCCAGGAGAATGGCTGCTTTTCGAGGTCCGAAATATTAGGTTGCACTTGGGCTCATTATTGGATTTATTCACCACAGGATCGACATACTTGAATGCGAGTAGGGCATTCTGAGGAGATGTGGTCGATTTTGGTGCACATGGAGCAATGTATTGGTGCATGATTCAAAAACTGAATTTTTAGAAATTTAACAAAAACAATTGGTAATCGTATCAAAGATTTCATGAAAATTAATTCCTGGAAGATTCTTGGGCCTCTTGAAAATAACCGAACTTTTTATGACTTGTCTATAACTTTTGTTTGAGAAAGCTGATCGAAATAGTACGAATTGACTTGGATTCTACGCACCCAAATTAATAAGAAAAAGTGTTTTCCCGAGAAATTTTGGTGCAGTCGATTTTTGGTAAAAAAGGAAGGTTATACACTGCCTTTTTTTGAGGCCCTCACAAAAAATTGTCTCAGATCGACCCGGAAAAAATTTTTTCTTATAGAATGTCGCCTGTAGAATCCATAATTTCAAACAGTTCCAAGATTGGGCTACTAGTTCCAAAGTTACAGCCCTTTGAATTTTTTTTCGAAATTGATTTCTAGTCTATAACTTTTGATTGAGAAACCTGATCGAAAAAGTACGAATTGTTTTGGATTCTACGCACCAAAATTAATAAGAAAAAGTGTTTTCCCGAGAAATTTTGGTGCAGTCGATTTTTGGTAAAAAAGGAAGGTTATACACTGCCTTTTTTTGAGGCCCTCAAAAAGAAATTGTCTCAGATCGACCCGGAAAGAAATTTTTCTTATAGAATGTGGCCTGTAGAATCAATAATTTCATACAGTTCCAAGATTGGGCTACTAGTTCAAAAGTTACAGCACTTTGATTTTTTTTTCAAAATTGGTTTCTAGTCTATAACCTCGTTTTATGATGTGTGCAATGCATCCTGTATTCCGTCGTCCCCTTTCTCTTTGAATTATCTATTAACTCCCCCCACCCCTCTCCCTTTCATAATCAACAAACTGACGTAACATTTTTATAGCTCAATTGAAATGTGCAACAATATCATCTGATTAAAGATTCTAGCATTGTTACTTACGAACACTTCACATCAGATTTGACCTACTATTGCATAGATCGACCCGTTTGCAAATTAAAACGTCAAATTCAAAATTTCAGACAGAACTTTGTCCTCGTCGGGGGTAGGAGGATATATCAGAATGCCAAGAATGGGATTTAATGTTGTGATCGAACTCAATTTAAAAATTCCTACTGTGCTATCCATTGTTTTTACCGAGCACAGACAATGGTGGTTAAAGGTTAATACGAAGAGGTCCCCGATAATTTTTGGCGACGTTGACACCGTCGACCGGTATATGCGGTTTCGCATAATGATCTGCTTTGTATTTAAAAGGCCGGCCTCAGTTCCTTCGATTTAGTTGACCCTTATCAATTGCGCTGAAAATGGTTTTGGAAAAAAACGGGGGTGTTGCACTCGCTCATCCCTTGCACGGCGAGGAGATCGTCATTACCGGTAAGTCAGTGGTAGTGGTGATCAAACTGATGGTTCTTTACGAAAAGGGATGTCTGGACGTTTTCCCGAGTCGGACGACATCTACCAGTACATGAGAAACATCTACAACAAATTTGACATGATCACCAGCGATAATCGGCGCTGGTTACCGACCAACCCCGAGATACCCCATCGTATTGGTAAAATTAGCCATCTAGAGAAGCTGGACGCTGGCCAATTCGGTATATGACATGGTCCCGTGGCTGGGGGTAGGTCTCATTGTGAGTGTTTCAGATTTGCATTACCACGAAGCCAACCAGATGGATCCCATGATCAAGATTTCCTTGGAAAAGGCGTACGAGGCGATCCTTGATGCCGGTTACAACGTAAACGAGATGGACGGTGCGAACTGCGGTGTCTTCATGGGGTGCTGCTTTTCGGAAAGCGAGGAGGTCGTGCTTATGGCGACGAATGCCAGCCCGAACTTTGGCGTGACAGGGTACGTGATTATTTCCATTATTCTGGTTGTTCGATTGAAAACCTGCTGTCCGTCCCTGAGAATTTGTTCATCAAATTTCTCATCACCCTTGCTCTTCCCCCGCAACTCTTCATCGCTCTGTTGGCCAATTCGTTCTGCACGATTTTCCCGTTCCTCGGCAACTTCCGGTTGATTTTCTTCATTCATTTCAACCATTTTCATCATACTCTCTAGGTCGAGGCTCAATTTTTCCTTTCGTTAGGTTTCCTTTACTACTTTTTGGTTATTTGTATGCACCTCTTTTAGTTCATGATTTAGTTCCTGTTTCAGTTTCTTCTGTCTGTTTTAATCGTTTCTTTATAGTTTTGCACGTCTTAATTCTTTTTATCATTCTTCATGGAGTAGATTTTTGTTGGTTCTTTTACTCATTCAGTTTCTTACTTTTTTAAGTGTCTATATATACCCGTTCCGGTCCCCTTTCCGTTAGGGACCCTCAGCCTTGAGGAACGGCCGATTTGAGTACAGCCACTACTCCATGTCTGGTAGAGTGACTTTATAAGCCTTTAGTTTTAGTAATATAGCCCGAATCACATCCCTTCTTGCGAGGAGAGAATCGGACCTGAAGGATTCCTCCCAGATCCGCCCATATCAACGGCTACCTCAATCCTTCCACTCGTCCCAATCTGTTAGCCGCATGGAATCTTTCCGCACCTCTGCCTCCCCACCTAAGTTTAAAGGTTATAATAGTCCTAGAAGTGTCTTCATGGCCACAATGGTTTTGATGGCTCTAGTGACTCCCAAACAAGCGAGTCTCCATACCTTACCCAGTTGTTTCCTATAGGATGCCCTGACAAGCCCCATGTACAGCCAAAATTATTCGCTCAATGTGACCTTTTCAAGTCAAGCGGGAGCCTATGATGACTCCCAAATATTTCACTGACCTGGTCAGACCCAGTTGACGCCCTCTACGTGTGAGCTTATCAAAGTCCTATTACCTTCCATTCGTAAATGGCACAACGTCGCTTTTTTCCTGGTTAACAGAGAGGCCATGGATATTGCACCACCTATCCACTTGTTCAAGAGCCCTCTGCCTCCCGTACTCCTTCACAGAGCGGAGAAAACCCGTTTTACACCAGACCTGCAGCAGCGGAGATAACACTCCACCCTGCAGACATCCCCATCCCCAGTATACATTCCCGACTCCAGCCTGAAGGTCCTCCATGATCTTCGTCTACACCTTCGGATATGGTCCTTATACCTGCGCTGAGCGATCTTGAAATCTCCCCAGTCCGCAGGCAACTATTAGTTCGTATGGCCCTGTTAAAGGGCCCGCGAACCTCCTTACGAACCTTTTCAAGGTCTGAGTTCCACCAAGGTGTTCTCTCCGTTCCTCGAAAGGTCCGCAGATTGCCGCAGTCCCCCATATGGAGCTGTTGTGGCGTCGTTTACTAATACGGCACCTTCTTCGGCCTGTCTCCTGGTTTTCGACAGACCAAAGGTGGTCATCACGGAACCCGTATAACAGATCCATCACCTTGGTTACCCCGGGGACGTGTCTCTGCACTTTCAGAGGGGCGTTATCCCAGGGTCAAACAGGAGGGATGGTCCTTTCCGGCCGGTCCAAGGTCCAATGGCCTTCCCATTCGACCGCTATGCCACCCTGCGGATTCCAGCTGAACTCCGCCAGCCGTGGGAAGGCCCCCCCCCCTCCATCTCGTCAACAACTGCATTCAATGCAGCTATCATACACTTCGACTGAGCCTCGGTGATGTCCACCTCCGGTTGTGGGTGCTCCAAAAGCTCTGGACTGTTTTGAGCCAGACATTAGAGCGCTTTCTTTCTCTCTGAGACGCTTGGTCGCTAAGCCGCCGACCCAGACACCGCCTTGAGCTTTGACGCAGAGGCCGCTTGACCCTAGGTTTAATTCTCGAGCTCCTCGCCATCGTTTTCTGTGCGCCAGTCCTATTCCTCTCGCGAATAGGAGCTGGTCAACCACCATGTCCCCCATGACAAGGATCCTAGAAAGGGTTTGTTTGGTTTGAAATCATCCATTCGATTCCCACGAGTAGTGCGGAAATCCGGTTTCACCTGAGCAGAGCCGCTTGCCCAGGGATTGGCTGCCAGTCCCTTCCCGAAGGAAAGGGTCCACCGCTCAGAGATCGTCCGGTTACGAAGGGGCACCGCAGCGCCAAGCGAGGACGCGTCCGAGACGTACCTCCACCATACCTTTACTTGAGTTTAGAGATCTTTAGCATTTGAGGTCAATTTTTTAAATTGAAATATTCCATGCACGAGAGTTTTAAGCGGTGATATTTACTTATTCTTAATGTCCCATTTTATTTTATTTTATGCAGAGGCGATCAAATTAGATTTTCCTTTACACCTTCCTGGATGTAATATATTGGTTTGGCTTATAAAAAGAAATACAAAAAAAATGTTCTTATAGGTCGATTCCTTTAAGAATATTAAAATTACTTCAAAAAAACAATTTCTCAGTTTAATGTTTACATACCTGATTGAGAAAATATAAGTGTATATGTTAATGCATGCTTCTTCTTTAGGAGTTCTAGATCTATGACTTCGCAGCGCATCAGTCACTACTTCAATCTGAAAGGGCCATCTTATATTACTGACACGGCGTGCAGCAGCTCACTTTACGCTTTGGAGCACGCGTACCGAGCGATTCGGACTGGTCGATGCGAGAGCGCATTAGTTGGTGGCGTCAGCTTGTGCCTAAACCCCATAGCATCTCTTCAGTTTGCTCGGTACGTGATGGGGGATGCGGAAGGGCTCTGGTAACAGAGTTGTTGCAGGTTAGGTGTTCTGAGTGCGGACGGGATGTGCAAGCCGTTTGATGAAGACGCGAAGGGTTACGCGCGCTCTGAGACCGTTTCCGTTGTCTTCCTGCAGAAGGCTAAGGATGCTCGACGAATTTACGCACAGGTAATAACCCTCCTTGGTCACCTTGATTATAGTTCTCTCTTGTAGTTGCTGCACAGCAAAACAAACAGTGACGGCTACAAGGAGCAAGGGATAACGTTCCCGTCGAGCGAAATGCAAAAGGTCCTCTTAGACGACACCTACGAGGAATGCCGATTGGATCCCACTACAATCGACTTCCTCGAAGCGCACGCCACCGGTACCAGGGTCGGCGATCCCGAAGAAATGGCCGCGATGGAGCAAGTCTTCTGTACCAACCGCGACACACCACTGATCGCCGGCTCCATCAAGTCCTACCTCGGCCATGCGGAGGGCGCGAGTGGAATGTGCTCACTGGTCAAGGTTCTGATCGGAATGGAGGACGACTGCCTTTTGCCAAACATCCACTACGACAAACCACGGCAGAGCATAAAGGGTTTGGTCGATGGCAGAGTGGTGGTCCCCTTAGACAAAATGCTGTGGCCGAAAAACGGCTCTGGGGTGGTTGCGATTAACTGCTTTGGCTTTGGCGGATCAAATGCGCACGTTATCCTTAAGAGGTTCGAGCAACGAAAGATTAACGAAGGATTGCCCGATGATGACTTACCGCGACTCATGTGCGTAAGTGGTCGCGTGCCGGAATCGCTGAAAAGCATCTTTGACGACATCAGTGGGCGTAAACTGGACGCTGAGTATTGCAGGTTACTTCAGGAGGCATTCAAGTGAGTACCCTCCCCGATTCCACCAGTTCTCCATACGGTTGATGCTCTGAATCTTCCAGTTCTTCCTTGCATGTAGGTATTTTTTAGTCTAGTTTCCAATTCAATCCATCAGTTCTCGAGTCAATCGCCGAGAATTCTTGATTTCGAATAAACTTTGGTAGATTGATCAACATGTTTCTACTATACGACACGACTAAGTTCCAAGCAACTCACAATGCATTAATAAAGCACACACGACAATAATTTCGTTGAAATGGTGGAACAGTTTTCCCTTAAAATTCAATTTTCGCAATAAAATATCTGGTACCACTACGTGGATGACAAATCTTTCATAAACTTAATGACCGAATGAAACCCCCGAAACGAACCCAGAGCAAAGCAAGCTCCGGTTATGCTGTGTATGCATGTAAAGGTACGAGTATACCTGCAGTTCCCACTTTGTGTTCATTCTTCAATCATCCTTTCATCTACACACTTTTTTTTTCTCTCTTATATTTAACTCTCTGTGCCCCTGCCCCCCCCCCCTCAACTTACCAAATCTCATCTTCGATTTTTGGAGATACAATTCCATTTACTTTTTCCCTGTATCTCTCCATTCTTCCCCCTCTTCCTCTCCCCAATTTCTTTCATTAAACACTTCAGACGTCTTCCCTCTTATAATTACCATGGGGAAGAGTGAGGATTGTGGGGAACGGTTATCGAGTCCTGCTTTACTGTCAATATAATTTTAGGAAATAGTCATTGAACTTTCCTGTTTTACTGGAGGTTATTCCATACCACCCACACCTTCCGGTGTTACGTCCTCTGCAGTGCTTCTTAGGAGAAGAGTATCTGATTACCTTTTCCCAAAAATAACAATGCGATTCCTAAAGGCTGCGCGTTTTATGAAAGAAAGTGTTACCGAGAGGTCTGGAGGTATGAAATACCCTCAGCATATACGACAATTCCCTTGTCATTTTCCGAAAACTACCAGGAGGGTTCCCATGGGAAAGGGTGTGGGTGATCGGACAGGGTTATCCAGTCCTTCTCAATGTAATTTTAGAAAATGGTCATTGACTCTTTCTTTCTTTTGCTGGGGATATTCCATACCCCCCACTCTTATGGGGGGGGGGTACTTCATACTCCCCACATACACCCTGTATCCTCTCCAGTGCTACAACCTCTGCAGTATTTCTTAGGAGTTTTTTTTTTATTTTTCAAAAATAACGGTTACATTCCTGAAGGCTGCACGTTTTGTAGAAATATAGAAGTATTTAACTTTCAAAATGATTTTCCGGAAATGGTAATCGAATCTTTCTTTTTTTCTGGCTGGTATTCCATGCCCCCCAGACTCCCCGGTGCTAGGATCTCTGCAGTTCTTTTTAGGAGAAGAGCACATGTCTGTTGATTCTTTTCCAAAAATAATCATGAGATTTCTGAAGCCTGAACGTTTTGTGGAAGACAGTTACCGGGGGGTCTGGGAGGAAAATAAGACAGTTCTCTTACGATTTTCAGAAAAATACCACAAGGGTACCATGGGAAAAGGTGCGGGTTTTGGGGAAGGGTTGTCGAGTCCTCATTATAATTATTGGAAACGGTCATCGACTCTTCCTTTTCTGGGAGGTATTCCATGCCATTCGTTGTCTTTCTGGTTGCAGAAATTTGACCATGTGTCTCTTCTTCCCACAGCACCTGCAAGGGAATACCTTGTTTTCCTTTTCACTATTCCCCGATGACCTTTTGTCGAAAATCTTCTTTGCGACAATGGCATTCTGAGTACCTTGACCATGATGACCTTGATTCTCAGCTTCTTGGAGTCCGGCAGTGTGTCCTGAAACTCCATCATGATACAAAATACCAATAAACTTGATGGGAAATAATCGAAAAGCCTTTTGGACTTAATACTTCTTCTTTGGTTTTTACCCTAGACTGCGCCTATACAATATATGCTTGTTGCAGGGGTACCACCACTGACCACCCTTACCGTGGCTACATAATCCACTCCAAGGCTGGCGAGCTAAAGCGGAGCTCGACGAGGTTCGACAGCAAGAGACGCGTATGTCTGCTCCTTCCAGGACCAACCATGGAGCTCCTCGAGATCGGCAGTGGACTGTTCAGATTTTCAGCGTTTTCCGCGGCCGTAGAGAGGTGAGTTGACAACTCCAGGGCCGCAAACCTTATCCTCACCTTACAGAATCGCCTCGCTTCTACCACCTGAGGTTCATCTAACCAAGATAATAAAAAATTGCGAATGCAATTGCGGGCGAGAATTAGTACTCGCGAATTTAGCCATTCAGCTCGCCTTCATCGAGCTGTTCAAGGAGCTGAATTTATCGTTAGACTACACGGCGGGGATGTCCATTGGGGAGTTATCCGCCGGTTATGCAAACGGGCGGATCAATCTCGAACAGGCAATCGCGGTCGGGTACGAAATTTCTCGACTGGTGGGCGATGATCTGCGTCTCGAGTACGCTTTAAGTACCAAAAGCTCGCTGCTGTTGAGCCGGCTACAAAAAGTGATACCCAGTCCGGAAGTGATGCTTCACAGTCTACTAAATCCGAAACCTTTGGAAGCGCGCGAGTGGCAGCAGAGCCATTATCCCGAACTGGCAGTGGTCGTGCTCGGTTCCGATCGGATTCGGCTGAACGGTTTCGCTTCCTTGCACATTTCCGGCTCGGATGCCGTGACCTCATTTCTGGATGTGGTGGGAGGGTGAGTAGCGACGAGGGCGCGCTCTTCTCCTACAGAAATCTCTTGCAGTCTTTACAAGCTCGGGCACAATCTCAACGTGGAAGCTCTGTACCCGCCAGTCAAGTGGCCGGTTGGTCGTGGAACGCCCATGATCTCGCCGCTCATTAAATGGAACTACGACTTAGATTGGTTTACAAAACTTCACACGAAGACAGTCTTGCACACGGGCGCCCAAGTTATTCCTTTGGTCAACAAGACGATTGACTGGTCCATCTTACCAGGCCACGTCATTGATGGTAAGTCAAGTCCTCCCCGAGTCGCTTGATCCATAGGATGCTTCTTTGGTGAAGGTATTCACTAGAGCCCCTTGTCTTCTTATAGAGATGACCGTTAATATTGTACTCCAACATTTTCCAAATGGTTAAGGTTAAGCGTTTGGACCGATCTACAAGGTTTTGCCATTTCCAGAGGCTGTCCAGATTAATGTTGCAAGGATAATTGTTTCAATAGTAGTTTAGACTACAACCACGATGAGTTTAAAGTCACTTGGTGCATGCGCAGTAGTTTCAAATTTGGAGTTGGCGCATGCGCAGAATTGAAAGTCAAAGTGATCCAGGATGGGTGTACTCTCGTTGTTTTATGTCTTGGCACATCTTCACGTGTCGACTACTACTCTTCATTCCTCTAGCTCATTGGGATTCTTAATCAGCACCATTGATCCAAACCCAGTCTGAACTTGCACGTATTTAGGTATGACGATAATGCCCGCAACCGGGTACCTCTTCATGGTCTGGGAGACGTACTGTAAAATTGTGGACGTTCCAATAGCCGGTTCTCGGGTGCGCTTCGACAACGTGCGATTCCACAAAGCTGTCCACATTTCCAAAATATCGGAGATGGAATTCAAGATCACCATCGGACGAGGAACGAACAGATTTGAGGTAAATATAGTCTGGGCCAACCCTCCTACTTAGTACACTTTAGATCGGAGACGTCGACGAAGTGATCGTTTCCGGAAGCATACGCACTCTCTCAGAAACGGATGAATTCATTGATCTTGCCTTGTCACCGGAAGATGACGAAGGAATCTCTTTCGCGTCCAAAGATATTTACAAAGAGTTACGTCTGCGGGGTTACAACTACTCGTAAGTGACTTGGCAAAGGTGATGGTTTGTATTGAATTCTTCTAGGGGAGCGTTTCGCTCGCAGGAAAAAGCCCATATATCCGGATTGATAAGCTGGATTAAATGGGAACGTAACTGGATCGCATTCATCGATAACATGCTGCAGACGAAGCTTCTCGGGGAAGATACGCGAAGTCTGTACGTCCCCACGTTCATTGGACAGTTGAAGATTGACGCCATGAAGCACTTCGAGTACGTCAAGGAATTGGACAACCCATCTCTACTGCCTGTTTACAACCATCGCGAGGCTGATGCCATCAGGTGAGTTAGGCAGACTCTTCCGCGGTGATTCTAATTAGTGGAGTAGCTGTGGAGGTATCGAGCTGCGGAAGCTTTACGCAACGTCAATTCTGCGCCGTAAGGTGACCGCCGAGCCGGTCCTGGAGACGCACAAGTTCGTACCGTTTAACACCGAGCTGCCCATGCAATCTGCGGTGCGCGTCCTGGTGCAGATCTTCCTGGAGAACTCACTCTCGCTGAAGGTTAAAATCGTGGAGGTCGCGCAAACTGACGCAATTGCTCCAATTCTGCAAGAGGCTTTGAATGATCAGCCGCTGGTAAAAACTGAAGTTATAATTTTGGGCGACGAAAACTTGAGTGTTCCAAACATGAAGGTCCACAACAAGGCGTTGTCCACCGAGAAACAGTGCGCGATAGTCATTGCAGAGGAGGCATCGGGTAACCTTGAACTACTCAAGGAGGCTGAAGGCGTTCTCAAGGAGAACGGCATTATTATCTCCAGGGAAAGAGGTGAGTTCACTGCAAATTTCCCTGGCCTCGCGCTTCTGGCGCAAGTTAAAACTGAAACGGATACGCTGGTGTTGCTGAGGAAGGTTGTGAGCTACCCCAAAGAGCATGTGATCATGGCCAAGTTTGATGGTACAACTTACGACTGGTTGCCCAATCTTCAGAGTGCCATGCGAAATGAAACCAAAACTTTGGTGGTTGTTGAAAATCAGCCCCTAAGCGGCGTGCTCGGCTTTGTCAATTGTCTAAGACGCGAACCTGGGGGAACGAACGTGAAATGCGTCTTTGTTCAGAATGGAAACATTAAATTTAACCTCTCCGATCCACTCTTCCGCGAACAGTTGGACAAAGACCTAGCTATTAACGTGTTGAACCAAGACGTTTGGGGTAGCTATCGCCATCTGCCGCTGGAGCGCGTGACGGAGGTTGAAACCCAGCACGTCTTCTGCAACCAGAACGTCGTTGGAAACTTGTCGACGCTCAGTTGGGTCGAAGGGCTACCCTCCAAGGATCCCGAACGATCAATCAAGGTTTGTACAAAGGTTTCACCAGGTGGTGGTCTAACGGCCTGCTTAGGTATACGCCAGTTCCATCAACTTCATGAATATTATGTTGGCTTCCGGTCGTGTTCCTTCGGAGGCGTACACAAAGGATCGACTTATTTCAACTTCAGCGCAAGGTATTGAGTACGCTGGGATTGATGCGAGGTAAATTACATTACTGAGTAGACCTGGTGTAGCGTGCAATTGTAGGGGCGAGAGGGTAATGGGAATTCAGTATGGGGCAATGGCCAGTTACGTTGTCCCCGATGGTGAAATAATGTGGAGGATACCGTGTGAGTGGACTATGGACCAAGGCGTCAGTATTCCGATTACCTACTCGACGGTGCTGTGCAGTTTCTTCGTGGTAAGTGTCTGCGTAGGCCTTTCGTCGTTTAGTAAGACGTATTTAAGAGCGCCCATCTCAAACCGGGACAAAGTCTTCTGATTCACTCCGGTGCTGGGGGCGTAGGGCAGGCCGCCATCTACATAGCCTTGTTCTACAAGTGCCAAATATTTACGACGGTTGGTACCGAGGAGAAGAGGAAATTCATCATGGAAACATTCCCAGAGATACCAGGTGGGCAAGTAAGCTAATCCACACGAACTCATTCGGTCCGTAGCTAACCACATTGGCAACTCTCGCGACACCTCTTTCGTCCAGATGGTTTTAAAGCACACGAGAGGAAGGGGAGTTGACTTGGTTTTAAATTCCTTAGCCGAGGAAAAGCTCAAAGCGTCACTTCAGTGCCTTGCGCCGAAAGGATACTTCGTCGAGATAGGCAAATACGACTTGGTCAACAGTAACACACTTGCACTATCTGTACTAAGCGAAGGACGTAGGTATGCCGGATGCATGTTGGATATGTACCTCGGGGACTGCCACAATCAAAAGCACAAACTGCAACAAATTCTGAGTAAATTCCTGAAACAAGGAGCGGTTAAGCCTTTGTTCCTTGCCACCTTCAACATGGACCAAGCGGAAGAAGCTTACCGTTTCATGGCGGCAGGCAAACACGTAGGAAAGGTCGTCATCAAAGTACGCGATGAAAACCAACAATCGCCCAAACTATTCAAGGCTCTCCCAAGGTACGGTTTCTATTCAAAGGATCGCTAATGACCGACCGTTCCAGATTCTCCTGCGATCCTTGCATGACGTATATCATTTTAGGAGGCTTGGGAGGCTTTGGATTGGAACTGGTTGATTGGTTGATACTAAGAGGGGCCCGCAAGTTGGTTTTGGTCTCTCGAAATGGTGTCCGAAATGGCTACGCTGCGTCCAGGCTTAGGTGAGTTCAACTGCGATAAGCTCTTCATAAACATTTTCCCTTAGAACTTGGAAAACTTACGAGGCCACCATAAGGGTGGCCACAGATGACGTCACCACCGAAGAAGGTTGCGCGCGGCTGTTGGAGAGCTCGGAGAAGCTTGCGCCCGTAGCCGCGATCTTCAATTTGGCGGTGGTTCTTCGGGACGACCTCTTCGAGAACCAGACGGAAGAGAACTTCGTGAATGCACTCTCGCCGAAGGCCCGGGCGACGCAGCACCTAGATATCCTAAGTCGGCAGCTCTGCCCCCGCCTACAGTAAGCTACCCCAACCCGGTGCTTCGCACTGTACTAATCGCCCCTTAGGCACTTCGTTGTGTTCTCGTCGGTGTCGTGCGGAAGAGGAAATGCAGGTCAAACCACTTACGGCATGGCCAACTCCATCATGGAAAGGATATGCGAGAAAAGGAAACGGGAGGGCTACCCAGGTTTGGCAATACAGTGGGGGGCAATCGGAGAGGTGCGTCTTTCGCCATCGTCCAGAATTCTTCACGTACTATTTTAGGTCGGCCTGGTTGCGGAAATGCAGGAGCAGCACAAAGAGATTGTTATCAGTGGCACATTGCAACAGCGTGTCGCATCCTGTCTGAGCACCTTGGAAACTTTCCTCCTGCAAAACGAGCCCATCGTAGCAAGTATGGTAGTGGCGGAAAAAAAGAGCGTCGCCGAAGGTGCCGAAAGCGTCATCAGCGCTATCAAAGGCATCATGGGTACGTTTACTTCAACTAGCACCTTCAACTCCCCTGCTTCGTTTAGGAATAACCGATATGACGACGATCAGCGAGCACGCCACCTTATCCGAAATGGGTATGGACTCCATGACCGCGGTTGAAATAAAGCAGACCCTCGAACGCGACTGTGAAGTCTTCCTAAGCCCGAAAGAAATCCGAACCCTCACCTTCGCCAAACTAAAGGAGAAGTTATCCAAAGAAGCATCAGATCCCGTAGCTCCACGCCTCCAGCCCCGCAGTAACATCTTCTTCGTCCACTTCCGCACGGAGGAAGATTCAAAAATACCATTAAAGCGACTGGAAAGCTTAGTTAAGAAAGAAGATCAGGCGCCATTGGCCATCTTCCTGCCGGGAATTGAAGGTGTAGCCGAAACCATGGAGTTCTTGGCCAAAAACCTGCACTCGCATGTGGAATGCATCCAGTACGCAAACAACGTCAGCGACTTCCGCTTGGAAGCCTTCGCTAAATCACTACCAACAGTAAGTTATTTCCACAATTTCTCCTTAAAAATCGGATTTTAGCTAATACCCCACGTCAAAAATCACTTCAACCTCGTAGCATATTCGTATGGTTGTGTGGTCGCGTTAGAGCTCGCATCCATCTTAGAAGTCCGTGGACTGATCGGAAAAGTGATTTTAATTGATGGGGCGCCGGAAATGCTAAAGAATCTAATAAAGCTGCAGTACCCATCGGAACACGAGTCCGAGGCCTTCCTGGAGACCGCCATACTGTTTAACTTGATCACCTCATACGCGCCCATGGAGGCAACAGTAGAGCTCCGGGTAAGCTTTTCCTCAGCCCACGCACCAATTTATCGAACTTGTCCTAGGAAACCGTCCGCCAGTTGCGCACATTGAAAGAACGCGTCGAGTACCTACTGGAAGTGATACCCGAAGGAATTCCGCATTCGAAAGATTACCAAAGGCAGGTGGGCATCGCCGTCTGCGCGAAAACGAAATCTGTATACAATTACGAGGCAAACTTTCCAAAGCTGAAGTCGGAGGTGACGCTAATCAAGCCGAACAAATCGCCCTTCGTCAACTACGACGAGGACTACAGACTGCAGAAGTTGTGCGAGAAACCTGTTCGAGTTCATACGATTGAAGGGACCCACACTACCATCGTCCAGAATCCTGAGCTTGCCGATTGTATCAATAAAATCATCAGCAATTAATAAAGAGTTGTAGTTGAATAGTAGTTCTTTTTAGAACCCCACCAGTTTCCTCAATTATTTGTAAAACCTAACCACCCATATGGGAAAGCAAACGGTCGCTTCACTTTTGAAGTACCTTCCTAGGTACTTAATTTGAGATGACTCTATCAACGCTCCAATATTCCAGGAGAATGACTAAAGAACGGAAAGTACTGTTGCTGTCAAAGGTGATGTTGACTACGAAAATTCAAGGTTGTAGGTGAAGATGGTATCCAAGAAATCGCATCTGAAGTTGCATTGGTTTACATTGATGGTTTTGTGTGCTGTTTGCCGCTCTCATACCAGAATGGAAGGTTTGAGCTGCGTTCCTGAATCCAAACGTCATGTCTGGAAAGTCGTAAATTCGGAATGGTGTTGTTGCCGCCGTCTTGGAGATGTCCTCGTCTACCACTAGGATTTGGTGGTATGCTCCAGGTAGGTCTTCGAGTAGTTGGGTTAGCAGTATGGGAGGGAATTTGAATTTCCTTTTAGGTTTTCGGTGAGGGGCTAACTAATTAAATAAGAGGATCCAAAAACCCAACTGGGATGGAAGGAAATGATGATGTAAAGAGTGGAGAACGCTACCACGTTTTCGGAGAAGAGCGACGGTATGTAGGAAGTCGGTTTGACGGAGGCAACGAGCAGTTTCTGGGAGCGCGAGCGACGATTCCCAGCAAACGAACTTGGTGTCAACGGGTCGGGAGGGGGGGGGGCTGCTTTTCGAGGTTCAGGTTGTACTTGGGCTCATTATTGGATTTATTCACCACAGGATCGACATACTTGGATGCGAGTAGGGCATTCTGAGGAGATGTGGCCGATTTTGGTGCACTTGGAGCAGTGTATTGCTGCAACCGACATCGTGTTGGAGGAGAGTGGATCGACAGAAAACAAACTGACGTAACATTTTTATAGCACAATTGAAATGTGGAACAGTATCATCTGATTAAAAATTCAAGCATTGTTACTTACCAACACTTCACATTAGATTTGACCTACTATTGCATAGATCGACCCATTTGTTAGTTAGAACGTCAAATTCAAAATTTCGGAAATAACGTCGGGGAGTGGGCGGGGGGAGGATACTTCAGAATGCTAAGAATGGGATTTAATGTTGCGATCGAACTCAATTTTAAAATTCCTACGGTGCTAGCTATTGTTGTATTGTTGTTGTGTCTTGATAATTGTCGAAGGACCACTCCGATTCAGGGTCCGTTAACTTGCCCCCCCCCACTGAGAGATTTGATAGTCGTATTATTTTGAAATGAATGCGCTCGTTATGCGCTCCTATGCGCCACCGATAATAACTCTTGCGCCATTATCGTTTTTTAGAAATCCGAAAAAACATTTGGGGGGGGCCAAGTGAACGTAGCCCCCCCCCCCAGTACGTATTTTGTCCCTTGTAACTAGGTCACCTGATACATTTGGTTATGCGCTCAATTGCGCCACTTGAATTAAAGCTAGCGCCATTACGGTTAAGCCGTGACAAATTTTCAAAAAGTGGGGGGGGGGCCAACTTAACGTTTTTAAAAGTTACTTTTTTTAAACATCTTTTCATACGAAATTGTACTCTCAGGTATGCGCTGAAATGCGCCGTAAAAAGATATCTTTGCGCCATTATTGCTTTTTGGATATCCTTAAATATATTGGGGGGGGGGGCAAGTGAACGGAATCCCCCATAACGCATTTTGCTACCGGTATTTGTGCCACTTGATACATCTGGTTATGAGCTCAATTGCGCCACTTGAATTAAAGCTAGCGCCATTACGGTTAAGCCATAAAAAAATTTTAAAAAGTGGAGGGTCTAACTTAGCGTTTTCAAAAGTTATTTCCGGAAGTGCGTCCATTTTGAAAATATTTTACATGGATTCGGCCTTCGGAGTAACTCCTAAATACAAATTTCTAAAAACCTACCTATTTTACTTTCCCAGAATCGTTTAACTAAAGCTCCCAAAAAAACACCCTGTATAGTGTTTCTGAAACAATATAATGACGCCAAGATTTTTGTTTACGGCGCATTTTAGCGCATGATGAAAGGTACGATGTAGTATAAAAAACATGTTAAAAAACGTAACTTTTGAAAACGTTGTTAGCCCCCCCCCCACTTTTAAAAAATTTTTTATGGCTTAACCGTAATGGCGCTAGCTTTAATTCAAGTGGCGCAATTGAGCGCATAACCAAATGTATCAGGTGACCTAGTTACAAGGGACAAAATACGTACTGGGGGGGGGGCTACGTTCACTTGCCCCCCCCCCCAATGTTTTTTCGGATTTCTAAAAAACGATAATGGCGCAAGAGTTATTATCGGTGGCGCATATGAGCGCATAACGAGCGCATTCATTTCAAAATAATACGACTATCAAATCTCTCAGTGGGGGGGGGGCCAAGTTAACGGACCCTCCGATTCAGGAGAATAATGCGCAATTTTTATAAACTAAATGAACTGTATTGAATTTACTGACTGTTCGTTATGACATTTCTATTTATATTCAAAAACAAACCTCTAATAATGAAAACTAGATTAAATTAGTGCAAATTGCACAATTGTCTTTACCGAGTGCAAACAATGGTGGTTAAAGGTTAATACGCAGAGGTCTCCGATAATGTTTGACGACATTGACACCGTGCGTCGGCCGGTATATGCGTTTTTTGCATCTGCAATGCATTTAAAAGGCGAGTCGCAGTTCCATCGATTTAGTTGATCCTTATCAATTGCGCTGAAAATGGTTTTGGAAAAAAACGGAGGTGTTGCACTCGCCCATCCCTTGCAAGGCGAGGAGATCGTCATTACCGGTAAGTCAGTGGTAGTGGTGATCAAACTGATGGTTCTTCACGAAAAGGGATGTCTGGGCGTTTTCCCGAGTCGGACGACATCTACCAGTACAGGAGAAACATCTACAACAAATTTGACATGATCACCAGCGATAATCGGCGCTGGTTACCGACCAACCCCGAGATACCCCATCGTATTGGTAAAATTAATCATCTCGAAAAACTGGACGCTGGCCAATTCGGTATATGACATGGTCCCGTGGTCGGGGGTAGGTCTCATTGTGCGTGTTTCAGATTTGCATTACTTCGAGGCCAACCAGATGGATCCCATGATCAAGATTTCTTTGGAGAAGGCGTACGAGGCGATCGTTGATGCCGGTTACAACGTGAACGAGATGAACGGTGCGAACTGTGGTGTCTTCATAGGGTGCTGCTTTTCGGAAAGCGAGGAGGTCGTGCTTATGGCGACGAATGCCAGTCCGAACTTTGGCGTGACAGGGTATGTGATCATTTCCATCATTCTTCAACTTGCTGTCCATCTCTCAGAATTTGTTCATCAAACTTCGTCAATGTGTGAAAGCCAGTCCCCACCACTCTTACTCTTCCCCCGCATCTCTTCACCGGAACGACCTGTGCTGGTGGTATACGTGTGTTGAAAGATTAATGTTAGAACATTAATAAAACGTCTTGAGCTTCAAAAATAGAAAAATAAAGAAGTTCATAAAATGTCATTCAATATTCATCATATATTTTTTTTTAACATCTACACACTTTATAATTTATAAAATATTTTATGATCGTACTTCAACACCTTCCCTCGATTAAAAATATTTATAAATTCAAATAAAGAATACTACATCAAAACTTACTTCTAAGTTCAAAATAGGAAATACAAATTACCTCCCCTTATTTCATATTTAAAAAAATCTTGTTTCTTAGAGTAGACCTATAGCCTTAGCAAACATTTCTGTTTGTTCTGCCCCGACAGGGACTTCGTGAAGAGGTCAGCAAGGTTTTCTGATGAAGGTATATATTCTACTTTGATCATTCTGTTATTAATACATTTCTCTCACAAAATTGTATTTAACAACAAAATGCTTACTTCTCTCCGTTATAGTTTCATTTTCTGCAATTGCAATCGAACCTTGATTATCACAATACACAATTTCTCTTCCATAAATTAAATATTCTTCACTTAATTCACGTAACAAAGATTGTAACCACAGAAATTCACACATTGACTCATAAAGGGCGATATACTCTGCATGAGTTGATGAACTGGCTACGCATTTCTGTTTTCGGCTTTTCCAAATAACTGCTCCATTCCCAAAATTAAAAACATAACCAGTTATTGATTTTGCATCATTTTTATCACTAGCCCAGTCTGAATCACTATAACATGAGAAAACACCATTTTTCTTATAAGTTAATCTATAACCTATTGTTTTCTTTAAATACTTTAGCACATTTTGAACACCTCTCCAATTTCTTACAGTGGATCTCTGGTTGCATTGGCTCAATTTACATACAGCATTTGCAATGTCAGGCCGAGTACAAGTGCTGTTATAAAGAAGAGAGCCTATCGCCTTTTGATACAATTCACGATCAAAAATTTCTCCTTCGCCTTTCACTTCAAAATGCGCTCCTACTTGAAGTGGGCAAGAAATGCCTTTAGATTCTGACATATTGTACTCATTTAAAATGGATTTTATGTACTGACTCTGATTTATGGTTATAACATTCTTACTAGGTCGATCAAACTGTATTGATATGAACGATCTTACGGGACCTAAATCTTTAAGTTTGATAATTTTTCCAATAATTTCTTTAAATTTTAAAACTTCTTCTTCAATTCCCGAAACCAAAAAATCGTCAACATAAACGGCCACTATAATGTCTTTCTTAAAAAATATGCAAGGTTCACTGATACATTTGGCAAAATCTAAACTTAACATAATGGATGTTACGTGATTATACCAGTTTCTACCTGATTGCTTAAGGCCGTACAGACTTTTTTTAAGTTTACAAACGAATGTACCTTTATCGAGTTCTAATCCATCAGGTACTTCCATCAATACTTCCTCATCCAAACTGCTATTGAGGTTACGCTCCGACTACATCTACATGATCCAACCTCCATCCATGATGTACAGCTAGATACGTCAGAAGTCTGATTGATTTCTGCTCCACTACAGGACTCATAGTTTCGAAATAGTTTACTCCGTGAGTTTGACGAAAACCTTGTGCAACAAGTCGGGCTTTATACTTACTTAATGTTTCCATCTCCGTTTTTGATTGTGAACACCCACTTGCAGGCTATTACCCTTGCACCTGGTTGTCGTTTTATAATTTTCCAGGTTTCTTGCAAATTTAAATTCCGAAATTCGTTATTATAATGGCATCCTCCCATGCAAGTGCGTTTGAGCCATTCACAGCTTCCTCATAACTGGACGGAATCTTCTCTTCATAATCGTAGAGCAAACATACAACATGGCAATTTACATCATTTTCTTGTTACTGGTGCTCTACTAGATTTTCTTAATTGTACAGGTCCTTATCGTCAGTATTATCGATTTCAGTTTGCTCTTCTCCTTGGTTATGAATCATTTCTGCTATTACAGCTTTTTGATTTTGAATTTCCAGCTCTCCATCTAACACGTCTTGATTTTGAGCAACCATCTCTCCTTCGGGTACAATTTCAATAGAATAATTTTTATCTGTAGAGATTTCAGAAAACAATCCTTCGTTTTTGTTTAACTCGCTTAGGAAATTGCAGTCAAAATTGTTAATCTTAAATGTCTGAGTTTGGTTTCGACATTCACTTGGTACTTTCAATACAGGTTGTTTAAATGGAAAAATCTCTTCCTGAAAAATTACATCTCTCCTGATGATTACCTTTCTTCGCTTCAAACTCCATAATCGATAACCGTCCTTCGTATTTTCGCCGAATCCAATAAGCACACATGTTTCAGCTTTTGATTCAAATTTCGTTGATTTAGATTTCTTTGCCCATGCTTGGCAACCAAAAATCTTAATTAAATTTGCTGTATCTAACTTTAATTTCTTACTGTGCCAGATTTCGTAAGGTCAATTGCAGATGAGGGGCACCGATTTCTGATAAAAACTGATGTCATAATTGCTTCTGCCCAAAAATTCATGAGTACACCGGATTCTAACATCATATGCATCTTGCCATTTCTACCAGAACGCGCGGTTCTGCCGTTCTGCCAGACCATTTTGCTGCGGACAACCTGGTGCACTTCTCCTATCTTTTATTCCGCATTTTCATGCAAGTACTTCTCGGAAACATTTGATATGTACTCGCCACCATTGTCACTTTGCATGGTCAGTAACTTTTTCTGTTGATTTTCCGCTTCCTAATGAAATCTAACAAATTCAAGAAACGCCTCATCCTTCGTCTTCAAACATTTGGCAACGATATAATGAGAGTAATCGTCAATAAGAGTCATAATAAATAATGATCCGCCAATATAGATGGTGGTGAAATTTTACCTATTAGGCGACTGAATTTTCCTTGAATGCAAACTTCACATTTCTCATCATCTTTATTTGGTTCTTCTTTTAAATTTTTGAGAAAAGGAATTCTCAACAAATCCCTTTTATTCACATGTCCAAATCTTCGATGCCATAGCTGCATGTTGTTGACTGCTCTACATGCTAATCCATTCTTCTGTTCAATGTTAAAATTTTTATTTCTTATATCCGCAGTATTTACAACGTATACCCGAACCTTCTTTACTCTAAAGATCAGCTCATCATTATCCAAAACTACTCCTCTTTCACCAGTGAACATGACGTCCAAACCTTTATCTGTCAACCTTGAAACAGACATCAAATCACATTCAAGATCTGGAACGAAAAATGTCTCAGACAACGTGATCCTGAATCCTCCGTCTTCTTCAGGTGTACGAATCATGACGATGCCTTTGCCTTCTATCTGAGCTTCGTCCCCATTTCCCATCTTGATGATGCCACAGTAATCTTCATCGGGTTCGACAAATTCTTCTTTCAATGGTGTCATGTGATCTGAAAAACAAGAGTCTAAATACCAGCATTTCCGCTTCATATTGCCTTTAACTCCTACTGAACAATACGCTTTGGCTTTGTGGACTGAATCGACAATTTCACTTATAGCACTACTTGCCATACCTTCCTTCTTGTATCGTTGTTGTCTCAAGAACTCCTTCAACTCTGGACAGTCACAAGATTTGTGTCCTAAATTTCCACAGGTGTAGCACTTGTAGACTCTATCTTCATTTCTACTTTCTCCTTTAACTCGTTGAGTACTGTTTCCATGATAGACTCTATTGTCATTTCTATTTTCTCCTTTAGCTCGGTGAGTATTGTTTCCATAGTTTTTCGATTTCATACTTTGGTTTGCTTTTGAGTTCTGCACTGCTTTCATAGCTTTGACTTCGTCTATTTTTGTCGACAGTCCGTCTAATCTGATTTG